CTTAACCGATTTCAACCAAAATCGGTACATAATATTTTTCTCATATTTCTATGTTATAGTATTTTTTTACTTTTCAGTGAAAGCAAATCAAGCAACAATGATTATATCGACGTAAAACTTTGCGTGAATAATACGTTTAAAGTATGCCACCTTGTGACCAAAAATTATCTAAATTGAACCAAAACTGTTCAAGCCCCTAGGTACTGAATATGGGGACCCCAGTGCCTATAGTTGACTTTTTACCGAAAATATTGGTCAACATAGAACAAGGCGGCAAGATTCACAAAGAAATCTTACATCCGAACTTAGCCCTTCCTTACTTGTTTTTTAGTAATTTTTTAATATTTTCAGGGGAGACAAATGGATGCTGTTTTGATTACAATACCAGCAAATGGTCAAACTGTGTCATGATTTTGAGTTTCCGACCTCTTTTTTCACTTTTTACGCGTGTGACATTACAGACCACATTTTTGAAGCATTCCATTATGTCCGCTATTTCACAAATAATTTTTTTGATTTCCTTAATTTGATAATGGTTTACTTTCACTTTCCGTACAATAATTGCCGCGCCTCTTTTTATATAAAAAATATTTACTTGTTATGTACAGTTAATTTCAACAAAATAATAAATAGGCTTTTAATTTCAGAAAATTTCGTTGCGATCTTTACCATTTTTCTGTGCAAACTAATAAATAACTAAACTTGTCCCTATTATTTTTTCCAGCTCATAAGTACGTAGCACGTGCAGAAAAAATTTTTCTCAATCCAAAGACTTTTACAGTATAACGGGTGTTTAATTGAAGTACTGTTTGATAGCATTAGTTTACAGTGAATTTGAATACTGCTTGAGGAATTTATGCAATATCTAGTATTAATACATATACAGTGTTGGAAAAAATAATAGGGACATCACCTTTATTCCCATATTTAATAGCACAGATTTGCATAAATTCCTCAAACAGTATTCAAATTCACTGTAAACTAATGCTATCAAACAGTACTTCAATTAAACACCCGTTATACTGTAAAAGTCTTTGGATTGCGACAAAAAAAAATTTGTATTTATGTATTTGTATTACATACATACATGCATGAGATTTGACCTACTGTACAGTACTGTATATTTACAGCAAGGTCATGAAACTTTGAACGCATATTTAAAGGTTAGTACTCTATGAAGGATAGTTTTTCTGCTTGTGACACAGAGTTTCGGTTAGGCTAAGGGGTTAAAAATCGAATACATTTGGTCTTTTGCTACTTGCTTATAAAAAAACGACTTAAATTATGTAAAAACAGCTTAATTAGTCGTTTTTTTTAAAGGTATGTAGTACATCAGTTGTTTAAACGTGCTTGAATCAAAATTAATAACAACAATGCTTACAATGAAATTGTTGTGCTTGTTGGAATTATTTGTTGCAAAGCAAGTCTTTTCTGTATGAAATTGTTTTTATGATTAATTACCCGCTTTAAGAGTACATTTAAATATTTATACGATTACAGTTATATGAATAACATTTAACTTCTTGTTTACATTTTAAGTATGTAAGTATGAATGCATGTAACTGCTATTCGCATGAAATCAATAATATTTTTACCGGTTTATTGCAAAGCAATGCGCATGTGCGCAAGTTTATCCGTTGCATCAACATGTTTACCAGTTCAGCTCAGTGAATAACCGCTGTTGCCAGAATATAATAAATAATAAGCGTGGGTTGGTTCATTCACACCTCACAGCAGCCTTGCTATTGTTGTTTAAACCAAATCAGGAAGGTAACAACTGCAATGGTCGCAATGAGGCGTTCCTTTCAATACTTAGCATATTGAGTTTTGAGTCGCAATTGTTTTTAATATAAACACAGTTTTTATGGTAAAACATATGCGAATATGTTGATGCACTTCGGTGAATACGCAGTACGATAAACAAATTAAGACAAAGCTGCCACTTTTGCATTTGTACATTTGTGTTGGGCGGAAAAGCAGTAAGTACTTAACTGAGAATCTGATTTCATGACCCATATACAAAAGTAAATTTACACTTAAGCTGCAATAAAATATGTACATATGTATATACGTATGTAATTAAATTAAAAGTAATCAGTACTGTTAAACTTCAGTTTAATGATACTTGTTATTACAAACAAATGTCCAGTAGAGTAAAGATTATACAAATTTAATAAAATAGATAATTTATACAATTAAGTAGGCACGATTTTTAATACGCTCTCTTGCCATCGCCTTCACACAGCTCATTAAAGGGTGAGGGGTAAACAATCAATATATTTTCTTAAGGTATAATATCGTAGAAATATTCTCTAAAAATTTGAAGTAAATCCGAAAAATACATTATGTAATATTTCTACACTTCACCAGCTGGTTATGAAAAACTAAGAATACAAAAATGCCACGGGAAAGTGACAAAAATAAAATTAAAGCTTCTTTATATTGAAATAGCGGCATTTTGGTTCACATTGCAACCACAGAAACAACAAAATATTTCTATATTTTACTTTTCTTCTTTACCTGAATATCGTGGCTTCCTTCCATGTTATTAAAGAAATTGATGATTTTTATTTAATTTATTAATTTTAGACACTTAAACGTCAACAATAAAAAAAGTTAACAGATACAGCCGATAGAATACCACACTCAAAAAACATACCTCGTCGTGTTGTATTTGTCGTATTAAAATTTGGTATGGGAAACAACAATAGTGTTGATATGACAGTCATAAAAAAATAAGACAATACGACGATATGACACAATATGACACCTTGTGAATACCCTAATACATAGTTTTTAAGTTATTTGACAATTATCAAAGGGTTCTCTGGAACGTTCGTGATCAGCTAGCTAGGAACTGCTATAAGCTTTACGTGAATTGAGTGTAAAACTTCAAATGCGTTTTTCTCAAAACTTTGATTTTTGAACAGGTGACCATTGTACCGAGCCATTTTCGGTATATTTCGGTGAAATCTACACAGCTTTTTGAAAACATGAAAAACTAGTGCCTGATCGAAGGTTTTTCATATGAACTTTTTATTTTTATTTTCGATTAAATTTCTAACCAATTAATCTTTGGTTTTTTTCCGAAAATCTGAAAAAAAATTAATTAAAAACAAACAAACTTCGATCTGGCACTGGATTATCTATTAATAAAACAATTTCTTTATTTTGTTTGATGATCGTATTGGTTTTATATGTATCTCCAAGGATTAGTTATAATCCTCGCATTACTTTGAAAATTCTTAATTTTTATTTTCAAATTTCTGTCATGTCAAGTCGAAACTTTACTATCATTAAATATGTTTTTACTTTTATAAAATAAAATTTTACTGGTAAAAGAAAAATCATTTAAAATTGTAACTTTTTCTTGTCTCTGACTACACCTAACCTCTTAAAACTATTACACTTTCTCGAATGAAAACTGAAGGGAAGGGATGAGACGTACTTCCTTAAAATATTCGATTCGAAAGTTAAAAGTGTAATATAAAAATAAGGTAAATCACATATTAGTTTCACAATAGACTCTATAAGACACCCCCACTTTATAGGTTTTTCAAACGCCTTTCGATTTGAAATAATTTTCGAAAACCGTATAATTTTTCATCTTTTCACTACTTGAACCCATGATACAAGAAAAAATGTAGAAGAATACTTTCTCTATTACCTTATGCTAACGCATCGACTCTCTGTCATTGATTTTTAATAATTTCACTCACCAGGTTCGCGTTAATTTAGGTCTGGATGCTACTGTACTATACTGTAATTGACCGCACCATATGATAAGTGAAAGTGTAAATAATTGCCAAGCTTGGTATAATTATTGATACGTAACTTAAGTCCCACAGTGAGCTAAGTTTTCAGCCACTTTGACAATCAATTAATAATTATACCTTGGACTGGGTATTAAATTTGCCAAGAAGTTTGAACGTACTGAAAATCTCGGATACCCTATAAAGCATAGGTAAATAGCTGAGTCTATCTAGACATGCCCGTCTGTTTCTCTCTGTTTTTGATATATTGATTCGGAATTTTGCACACAACCTTAGATTTCCAAGAAAGTGCTCATTGTCCTTGTATGAAAAACTTTTTTATTTAAAAAGATATCTTCATGAAATTTAGTACGGATTATTTTCTAAGGCAACGCTACATTTATCAAATAAGTTGTTCAGATCGGACCACTATAGCATACTGCTGTCTTTTAAACTGACCATTCAAAATCAAGGCAAAGATATTTGTATATCTTTTTAAGCTTTTAGAAATGTGCCTGTGAAGGGTTTTGCAACTTTACTGCAGCTGTAGTTAACGTTTTCCATTGTTTTTTAGTAAAATTTTATTATCACCTTCAATAGAAGTTCTGTTTGAGGCAAGTAAAAGGGCCACAGAATCGGTCGGATGTATTTTACTTGTATTTGGTTGGCAAGCAGTTCTGCCGATACTGTAACATTGATATTTTGGAATGCTCAGGACTTTTGGTCCAGTTCAAGTGGTCAAGTTTGACGGCGCCTTCCCACACAGCAAACGAAATGAATCCACCCAATAGGCGTGTTCAGAGCATCAATTGCAATTGCTTTGGATTAACATATTAAAATTCGAATCGAATGGGAGTGGTTTCTATTTTAATATAAACACTTAACTTCCACGGGACTATTTACAACTATGACTGCCTCTCCGACATTTCCTAATGAACGAAATGTGTTAAGAATTCAGCAATTTGCATCTATGAAGCAACTTTGATTCAAAAATATGTATAACAATCATGATATCGTAAATTAAACTGTATGAAACACAGCTTAATGTCATTCGACTTAACTGAAGAGCTAAAAAAAAACGGGCCGTACCCGTAGATACACTTCTCTTTGGAAAGGCAATACATAATTTTGAAAATTATTTATGCCAAACAAGCTGAAAACTATATCAACTTGATGCTTTGGTAACCTTGTAACCTTGGGCAAATACGTGGCCCATTGTATTATATTGAAAAAGGAATACCCAGAAGATTATAATCTACATTCTAATTTATTTTTAAATAAAATTAAAGCTTTTTGGTTTACATTTTTAAATGCATACTTTTGTACACAAGTGGAAGGATCTTTTGCTCAATGTGTGTATAATTAAGACTGATTCGAAGGTATAACAGTGCTATATTATTCTCTTTGGATTAAGATTTACGAACGTTGAATTTATGGCGGACACGGAGGCATCCAAGAAGGCCTTACGCAATCTGGAGCACCAGCGCCACCTGGACCGCCAGAGCCATTACCCCAACCACCACCGCCGCCACCGCCTCCTCCACCACCGCCTCCACGTTCACAATTGCAGCCTCGACCACCTCCACCGCCGCCGCCACCGCCACCGCCTCCTGGCACTGGTACACCTATAAAAAATTACAACAAAATATTTACAAAGGGTGCTTAATAATTGAATTGAAAATTTTACCCTTAACCAAAGCCAACATAGCGAATAAAACAACTAACAGCAATTGGAGCTTCATTTTCACTTGTTAATATTGCAAGTGATACGACGTTTTATGTAGCGCCAGCCCTTTATATACAAACACCGATGAGCAACGGTTTTCATTATTGAAAACACATGAATTCAGAGCGATCGGGGAATTTTCGTAGGGTTATTCAATTGCGGTAAACGTTCCGAAGCGGTGCAATGTACTACAGCAACGAAATACGAACAGATATACATACATATTAACACATGGCGCTCAAATGACGCTACTGCATAAGATCGGCGGAGCAAAAGGAAAACTTATTGAGTTAAGACATGTGTGCAATTATCACCTCACTGCTGCGTAACGTCAGTGGAAAATCCAAAACAATCATGACAATAAACAACTAAAATTTATAGTACGAAAATGCACATACAGTACGAGTTCATATTTATATGTTCACACTAGTAAAAATATGTCTAAGTCAACTATTTATGCCGAAAAGGTCGTTGCTGATAAGAAATTTGCATTAAATGCAATATTTATTAATTAACTTGATCTCATTTGTGCAAATCTGCAATAGTTGAAGCGCATTCTAAGAACGCAATTATGTAATAACTATGCGCAATTATATTTCCAAGTATTTATTAATAAAATATGTAGAAATTGGGTCAACGATCTGTTGTATTTACGCAGAATTTTGAACTCAAAACTAAAAGCGAAATTTCAATGGAAAATATATTGTATACTCGTATAAATAAATATTGATATGAGTATTAATAAATTGCGATTTTAATGATTACACAATTTTACAGCCAATTCAAATCCCACTGTGATCGTATGAGGCATAAACTTAAAAAATGATCGAAGAAAATTTGAAAAACATTTCGTCGTATTAGCACCTCTAGCTCATATTTTTTAAGTGATAATAATAAAGATTTTGAATCAATCTGAAAAGTAAATACTTATATAATTAATAGTTTTTAATGTGCTTATATGTAAGTATATTTAATATGAATATTGTTAAATCTATTTATTGTCCTCCTACTGAACTCTAGAGAAAAGGTTTTAAATCGAATAGCATTCTAATGTTGAATTCTATTTTGAAATGTATTTCAAATTCGTGAAAGAGTAGTAATTGATATTTATGGTATATTATATAGTGGGAAAGTAATTTACAATTTTTGAGTCCCGTTTTACGTATCAAACTAACGTAACTTCTGCCGACACGTTTGTCTAAGTACTTACATAAATCGTTTGGTAAAATATTTTTGAACCATAGTGTTTTTGAATATTACGCTATAAATATCTCAATTCTTTCAAAAACTAAAATCTGCTGTTAAATGGAACTCGCCAAAAAATTCTCTAATAAAAGTTGCTTGACCTTTCATCATCGTCTTGGTATCCATTTATTTCATATTATTTTAACATTTTCCAATTTTATTGATTGAGATTTTACAAGCACACATAGGAAATACGTGTAATTAGATTCGTATTATGACTCTCTAATTTAGTATGAGTATGCGACTACGGTACTTTATATTGGGAGTTTCGGACATCGAAAATACTTATTTATGCATTTATAAACTGCTTTGCTAAAACTCTGAACTCTGAAACGGAACTGTGTCGATAAAGGTTATGATTGCGTTTATCAAGGATTAATTAATCCTGAAGATCATTAATGCAAAAATGTATTATCTGTTGGAAAATATTTATTAAAGTAAGTTCAAAAAAGCCGAATCAACCTTATTTGAATACACAGTAAAATATTTGCCTGTTCTTAAAGCGAACAGATTGTAATAGCGTTTGCCTTCTGAAGAGCAACAGCAATAATCTGAGTGTATTCTCTAAAAACACTCTCGGAGGCTGCATAAAATATTTAGGACCTTTCTCAGCTGCATTTCTTAGAACACAAAGGGTATAAAAATATTTGTATCTTGATTTTGATAGCTCAATGAACAGTATGTTTGGAGACTATAGCGTTATCTTTGATATTTGAAAATAATCTAGGCCTAATTTCGGTAAGATATCTTGTAAAAAAAAAACTTTTCCGTACAAGAACTTTATGCGATCAGTTTGTATGCCAGGTACGTATATGCATTATTTCGTTAATATAATATATATTTTCAAATAAAAAAGCTTTCCATTAGTATGGCAAGGAGACCCTATTATGGTCTGACATTGGCGGTTGAGAAAAATTCGCAGCATCTTGGGGAGAATGGGATGTGTGCAAAATTTTATATCGATTTCTCAAAAGCTAAGGGACTAGTTCGCACATACATATGTATGTATACTGACTGATGAACATGGCTAAATCGACTGAGCTCGTCGCGCTGATCATTTGTATAGCATATGGTATACATTATACGGTCTCCGACGTTTTGGGTATTAAGAACTTGGTGGCAGGGTATAATAAAAAAACCCAATTTTTTTGTTGTTGTCAAATTAGATTTATTAAAATATTTTAAAAATTTGTTCAAAATCTTAGCTCCAAACAGTCAAATCAATTAACAATGTCTTAAACTATGTATGGCAGTTGTTGGCTGTGCGATTTACTTGCCACCGCCGCCGCCACCACCACCGCCTCCGCCGAGTTCAAGGTTGAGACCACCGCCTCCACCGCCGCCGCCGCCTCCACCGAGTTCTTCAAAGGTGAGACCACCACCGCCACCGCCGCCGCCGCCACCACCGGGCAGAGGTTCTGGCATGGCTGTAAAGAATAGATGTCGTTTTTGTAATTAATCGGTAAGTCGATTATTTGAGGGTATGTATGTATGTATGTAGTGTTGCTTTGCTAATTTTGGACTGAGTCCTGTAACTCACCCATAGCCATGGCCACTAAGGCCAGGACAAAAGCAAAAAGAGCGTAGAACTTCATGATGCAAATACTGAAACTGCAATGTCTGAAACCACAGTGAATGTCGATATTTATACTCGGTATCATCAAGCTCAGTCTCATATCAAATGTAGCTGACGCAATAAACTTGACCCGGTGTTTTGATGCGCTCTTAAATGCATAGCGATAACAGCAGACACATGTGCCTGTGGAGAAGTATGTATGGGTATGTATGTACATATGTGTATGCATAAGTAGTTGATAAAGGTTACTTTTCTATTTTCCCAGAAAAGATAGCAAGTTATAAAGGGCTATGTGGAAGGGCATCCCAATATTATATTCGCTTTCAGTTTGTAATAATCAAAGTCTCCAGCAAAACTTTAGAATAATAAATATACTCGAATACTCGAGAACATGTTTCCACGCAATCTCGTTAAGTTATCCCACATACTGACTGACAAATTAGGGATAAAATATGCTAAAATAACTAAAATCATGTTATGTTATAAATGGTAGCTGTGGAAACTCGTTGAAATAAATAACCGCTATTTGAGGTTTGAGCCGTAGTTTCAAATTTTGTTTTTAATTATTTTGGGTATATGAGGGTTAGGGGTAGTATTGACCCGATTTTATTTTTATTTGGCCAAATGTTATTACCAAACAAAGATGCTTTATAAGTTTTAACCAAAAGTTTGAAAATCCTTTTATTAGGTATATGGGGCTAGGAGAAGGTTTCACCCGATTCTATCTATTTTAGGTACAAGGAAACACTGTTATTTGGAAGCCAGACTCTTTGAATCTCATTAATTTAATTCACACATTGACCGGTATATAAGATATAAAGTTAACCGGAATTTCGAAAATCTTTATATGGATATCATATCATAGGTGAAATATTGACCCGATTGTATGAGAAGTAGACATGGTTGTAGTCCGGTTTCGCACATTTTTGTACTCTAACTTAGACAGGATAATGTTAGTAATGTACGAAATTTGGTTGAAATTGGTTGAGTAGGTCCGGGGATATGGGATGTCGCCTAAAGGTGAGAGGTGCCACGCCAATCGTTCAATTTTAACACCGGCTCTTATAAAGGACCTCTTTTACCATCTCAACTATAAAATTTAAGTCCTTTATGCATTTAGTTCAGTTCAGTTTATTTCATCCATTTTCACACTGTCGGAAGGTGAAAAAAATGTTCTGAGTATATCTGGTTGTTTTGGCTTTGGTGGTTTGGGAGATATGTACATCCATTAAACATTTTAAGGACGGGTCACGCTCACTTTTTAAAAATTTTCAGTGCCCAGATTCTCTTCTCCTCTGCTATCCCTCACACCAAATTTTAATTTTGTATCCTTTTGTGGAGCTTAGTTATAGCACTTTATAAGTTTACGATTAACGGCATTTTTGGACGTAGCAATGATCCGAATCCGGTAATAGTGATTCATATAACTCTAATAAAACGAGTTTCGAACCAGCTATTGCCCTCATATCGTTTCAAACCGTGCATATTTCTCTAAAAACGTATTGAACGTAATGTAGTCGGGTGCTGAAACATACAAAATCTATCAAAGAATTACCAATTTCTTAGCTGATTTTTAGTTGTTGTTATTCGCAAGATATTTGCTTTAGTTGTCTTTAAATTAAACGCCGTCTCATGTTAACTCATGTCCACTTCTATTATGATGACATTTCGCCACGATTTAATTGCTTTTAAAATGCTATCATAAAATATTATAGAAATGAAATCACAACTGTTTTCATTAGTATGACTACATACAGTGAATTTGGATAATGAAAACCTCTCTTAATGAAGAAACCACACATAAAGGTATTTAAGGTGTTATGCCTTGAAGTTGAAATATGGCATTACCAAGATCTAACCCAAGGAGTTCTTAAATCATTAAAAACCTAGAAAAAATATATGTGCAAATGTCCTCGCTTTATTACAAAGCACGAAATTAGACTGTTATAATGGTAGAATTACCAAATGTCTATGGCATAGCTGCAATCCTCCAGTTTTTTTCTACAGGCACCATTATTTTCATCAACAGCAGGCTTCAGTAATCAGGATTCCGTGCGATTGGTTAACACTATAAAAAACAAGTAAGGAAGTTCTAAGTTCGGGTGTAACCGAACATTTTATACTCTCGCAACTGGCAAGGATCAAAGCCCGGGAAATTACATTAGGTGTTAGCAAACAACCGTTAGGTGAACAAAATATTATACTCTGTAGGAACATGTTGCGAGAGTATAATAAACGTTAAAAGACAGTTTTGTTATCACATGCGAATGATTTTGCTTGTGCAATATTCAACTGGAGTTTCTATAAGAGTGTCATTACGAAAATTCCTCCAAAATGCACCAAGTTAATAAATAAAAACTCCATGTTGTATTAATGTCTCCTTCAGAAGGGAAGATACTCTTGAAAATTTCTTCTCTCATCTTTGCTGCTCGACAGTAATTACACTATCACTTAATAGTAACTTAATAATTATGATAACAAACCATAAAAATGCAAATTATTTTTTGTTTATCAAATTAGATTTATTAATGTAATAATTTGTTCTAAATTGTTGATCCAAACAGTCAATTCAATTAACAATGTCTTAAAGTATGTCTGTTGATGCCTGTGCGATTTACTTGCCACCGCCGCCGCCACCACCACCGCCTCCGCCGAGTTCAAGGTTGAGACCACCGCCTCCACCGCCGCCGCCGCCTCCACCGAGTTCTTCAAAGGTGAGACCACCACCGCCACCGCCGCCGCCGCCACCACCGGGCAGAGGTTCAGGCATGGCTGTAAAGAAAAAAAGACGTATTTTTAATTTATCGAAAAGTCGATTATTTGAGGGTATGTATGTATGTATGTAGTGTTGCTTTGCTAATTTTGACTGAATCCTGTAACTCACCCATAGCCATCGCCACTAAGGCCAGGACAAAAGCTAAGAGAGCGTAGAACTTCATGATGCAAATACTGAAACTGCAATGTCTGAAACAACTGTTAAGGCCGATATTTATACTCAGTATCATGCAGCTTAGTTTCGTATTGGAAGCAGCTGCGGCAATAAACTTGACCCGGTGTTTTGATGCGCTCTTAAATGCATAGCGATAACAACAGTCTAGACTTACACATGTGCGTATATGGACGTATGAATATGTGTGTGTATTGGTGTTTTACATTAATAATTGAAAACAAAAGCGCATATACATATGTATATGTTTGTATGTATGTATTGTAATTCACAAGTATGTATTCCACATATGCACAAATGCTTGATGAAGCTTGCTCTCCTATATTCACCGGAAAGCGGTACAAAGGTGTTACATATTGGTTCACAGCGAGACTAAAAAATAACAAGTAAGAAAGGGCTATGCGGGCGTGCAACCGAATATTAAACTCTCTCTCAGTTTGCAAAAAACAAAAGCGTCAGCAAACCTTTATATAGCAGCCGAAGTTAGAATTTAAGGTGAGGAAATACGTCCACGTGTCTGCCAAACTTTATAAGGAAAAAGGTTGTTTATAAATTGAACATTCTTTATTAGATTTAATTATGTATAGAATACAATCAATCATTATAATGGGTATATGGGATTAGAATTATATATGAAGCAGCCGACTTTATACGTATTAAGCATTAGAGTACATTAATATCAGAAAATAATGTCCACTTGCATTTATTAAGATATTTTTCCGATTCATTGATATTTTCGGTATAAAGTCCACCATAATCCCCATATTCATTATTTTGGGACTTTCGGTTAAATTTATTGACTCTGGCGTTTTCATTACATAGTAATGCTCTAAATTTTGTCTTTTACACCTAACATGAATAAAAATTGAGAGATATGTAATGATAAGACTTGGCATATATTATCCATGGCATTCTAAAAAGATTTCCTATTGCAAATGTACAAAATTGAACTACTGCCATTCCCGGAAAATGCCGTTGATCAAACAATGTCATAAATTAATCTACAAAACTTCAACTTGATATGCCCCAGTCGTAATTAAGTTTAGTATACATATTTCACAATCTACTAAAGTCATATCAACTAAACTTATTCAACACATTTATCTTTACAATCAAACTCACGCCTCATGCAAGGGTATACCGAATAAGAGAACATCAGAGCCAACGTCTAGTTTTATGCCAAAAGTCTGGGTCATTTTTTAAGATTTCTCAATGAATAATTGTTTCTCATATAACCTTTATATAATGATTTTCGAACTTCCGATTGTTTTTATACCGTTTATAATTTATCGGCAAATGTGTAAGATATCTTAAAAAACTATGTGACACGAGATAAAGCCACCAAAAGTTTCCTTGAATAAATTGATGTCGTCCACATCAACATCCTCCAATTCAAGGACGAAAAGGTCATTAAACATGGGTCTATAGCGTTTCCCATTGGCTGTAATAATATTCCCGGCTCCAGTTTTGAAGAATTATGGACCAATGATTCCCTTTGCCCATAGAGCACACCAAACTGTGATTTCTTGAGGATGTAACGGCGTCTCATGGCTTGTAGATTATCATCTCTCAAATGCAACAATGTTGTTTATTAACGTATCTATTCAACCAAAAGTTTCAGTGTTGAACAAAATTTTATTGTCAAAATCTAGATCGGTGGACACCTTGTTTTGGGCCTATTCAGCGAATTTGCGACGCATTGGATGATCGTTCAGCTTCAATTCTTGCATGAGTTTACCGACTATGTTTTATATCCAAGATAACTCCGAGATATTTTATAGAGCTCGAGAGTACAAGAGCGGAGAAGTTAATATATAGCACTATCCCGAACTATCCCAGAGAGACTTAACACAAGGAAAACCATCGAAAAAATTAATTGTTTAGAAGTTCTCGTTATAATACAAGCAGAAAATTGGACTATAATAATGGAAATTGGATAATTAATTCTAATACATGCCTACAACAAGTAATCATAATCTTTCAGTTTTATGCTACGGGCACCACTATTATACCCTGAACAGGGTATATTAAGTTTGCGACGATGTTTGTAACTATAACAAGGGTATACCTTATAGTTCAGGTGCAACCGAAGTTAACGCAACTTGTTGAAACAGAGTTTAATAGGTTTGTTCACCTAACGGTTGTTTGTATCACCTAAAAGTTACAAAAATCGAGTTATATATAATTGATCAGGATAAAGAGACGAGTTGAAATCCGGGTGAATGTCTGTCCGTCTGTGCAAGCTGTAACTGAAACTTAAATTGAGATATCTTTATGAAACTTCGTACAGATTTTTCTTGGTACCGTAAGACGGTTGGTATTGCAGATGGGCGTAATCGCACAACTGCCACGCCCATAAAACGCCATTAATCAAAAATAATTAAATGGCCATAAATAAGCTCCACAATCAGATACAAGACTGTTATTTGGTATACAGGATCACATTAGGGAGGAGCGTCTGCAGTTAAAATTTTTGTTTAAAGTGGGCGTGGTCCCAAACCTAAAAGGTTATGAAAATGGGTGAAATCGGGTGACAACCCCGCCCACTCGCGTTAAATCAAGCACTAAACACGCCGGAGACATTTTTATTTCTGGGATGGTATGAAATTACTTTATGGGAACCGAGTTTAAAATTAGACAGAGGGCGTGGTACCGCCTACCTTTAGGAGAAAACCCATATCTTGGGATCTGCTTAACCGATTTCAACCAATTTTAACCTTCTTGTCATATTTCCATGTTATAATGCGAAAATTGGCGAAATCGGATTACAACCTCGCCTATTTCCCATAAAACACCATTTTAAATTCCATCTGATTCTTTCACTTTCCACTATACAAATCTAGCAACAATGATTGTATCGGGAAAAAACGTTGTGTGAATACTTGTAATGCGTTTAAAATATGCCACCTTGTGACCAAAAATTGTCTTAATCGAACCAAAACTGTTCTAGTCCCTAGGGCTTCCTTATCGGAATATGTGAACCCCAGTGCCTATAGTTGACTTCTTACCGAAAATATCGGTCAATGTGTAAGATATATAATTGATATTCATATAAAAAAATAAATAAATGAAACTCTCGATAATAGTTTGTCTTTGTGTCAAAAGTGGGTTGAACCTGATCAATATTTCCTTTAATACAAAATTTTCCCAACACCTGAAGTAATTTCCCGGGCTCTGATCTTTGCAAGTGGCGAGAGTATAAAATGTTCAGTTACACCCGAACTTAGAATTTCCTTACTTGTTACTATATATATGTAGATGTATGCGATTAGCTTATGCTACATGGCGGTCAAAGATAAACTTTCGTACTAAAACAAACTTCTCAGATAGTTTTGTAATTACTTCACTCAGTATCATTGATTACCTGCTCCTGTTTATGGCGAATAATTTTGCTGGGTCAAAATTCACTACAAGAGAAGCTTGTGAAAATCGACTGTGCCAGGCTTTTGTCAATAGGGACGAGGGTTTCTATATGAGTGTCATTATAAAATTTTTTTCAAAATGCACCAAGTTATTCAACAGTTAATACAACGTTCAAGCCTTCTTCTTTTACCGAATATCAACTTGAGTAGCTGTTCAACAGTAAATAAAATCACTTAATAATAACTTATTAATTATAATAACAAATCATAAAAATGCAAATAATTTTTTGTTTATCAAATTAGATTTATTAATATAATAATTGGTTCTAAATCCTTGGGCTAAACAGTCAAATCAATTAACAATGTGTTAAACTATGTATGGCAGTTGATGGCTGTGCGATTTATTTGCCACCGCCGCCGCCACCACCACCGCCTCCGCCGAGTTCAAGGTTGAGACACCAAACAAAATACAAAATCAATTAAAATACCGGTAATGCCCGGCTGATTCACAATTTGGGGCTTTGTAAGAAGAGCAAATGAAAAGTACCGTTCAACAATAGAAATTAATGCGCAATATTTCTTGTTTTTGTGCCTTATGTAGATCGTGGGTATAATTTTACGATTTTCTACGAAGTAGGCAGTATTTACATACATACGTAGATGTACTTGTAATTAAATAAAAATCTATGAATCTACAATATATAAATACTTAAATTTAAGTTATATACAAAACCATAATTTTCTTGCGGCTAATTATCAATGAAAACAATGTTTCCGAGAACTCGCTTATCCGCACAAGGTCGCTAATGCCAAGTGAGTAGAACAACTTGTCAATGAGATGAAAACAAACTCATCAAACTCTTAATGTCATGCATACAGCTGTAAATGACATTTGATTAGTTGCATTTTATTGAGGAAATCTCAACAAGAAATTATATAATATAATTAAAGCGCGCAAATTGTTTACTGCCTATTAAATATATGTAAACAGCGATTTATTTTTATATTAATATGCAAATTAAATTAAATTATTGTTTGAGAAGAAAACAGCAGGTATTCTTACATTTTGAATACAGGGCGTAGCACAAAAGTGGACAGAACAATAAACTTCTTAAGGAAAGAGTGAACAGAGTAACATGCTTAGAGGCATCACGAATTTTTTTTTATATTTTTTAATTTTTTTTTATCAAAAACTGATTATAGTGGATTAACAATATTTTTTTTTTACATGACGTTAAATTTAGTCAAATATCCTTTCAAATTGTCAATTTTGTATTAATTCTGCGAAAAAATACATGGGAAACTTTTTTCTACCATGTGAAGAACTTCGGTATAAATATTAGTATTGAAGGAAATCGGAAGTATATATTATATATGCATATGTTCTGTCTCTACGAAAGGTGTTGGGCTCACAACAAAGTGAATTAGTACTAAATCCTCCGGTTTTTGAAGAATCACTTTGATTCCCTCCAAAAAACGTATACCAATTATATATATGTATATATATAAAGCGTTTTAAGGTAAAAGCTTAGTAACCAGAACTTGTAATTATGTTTACTATTGTAATATTATTCTGAAAACCTAAAAATAATAGGTTCCATTTAAATTATAATAAACTAATATTACCAGGCCTATGTACAGGTGTTTTGTTCACCTCTATAGGTGCATACTTTGTATGTAATATGTACTTTGTATCCTGGAATAAATAAATAAATAAATAAATATTCATGCTGACGTTTTCAAAAACGAAAAGAGAAAATTCGCTATATTTTACAATTTTTTTCGATCAAGGCGAAAAAGCAGCCAAAGCGGCTGAAAAAATTAATTTAGTTTATGGACCTGATACATGTAGCAGAAAAGTGGTTTGCTAGGTTCCGTTTCGGTAATTTCGACCTTAAAGATGTACCACGCGTCGGGAGGCCTGTCGTCGAAAATTGCGATAAAATCATGGAAATAGTGGAAACAAACCATCACGTGAGCATTTATTTAATTGCTGAGAAACTAAAGATAAGCCAGAAAACCGTTTGGAACCATTTGCATAACCTTGGATTCATAAAGAAGTTCGATGTTTGGGTGCCACACGAACTACCGCAAAAACATGATAAACCGAATTTTCATCTGCGAATCGCAACAAAATCGACCCGTTTCTGAAGCGGATTGTGACTGGCGATGAAAAATGGGTCACTTACGACAACATCGAGCGCAAACGGTCGTGATCAAAGCTCGGGGAAGCGGCCCAGACGGTGGCCAAGACCGAATTGACGGCCAGGAATGTTTTGCTGTATGTTTAGTGGGATTGGCAAGGAATCATCTACTACGAGCTGCTCCCCTATGGCCAAACGCCAGCCTTCTGCGAGAGGGGTATAATGAAGTTGGCATCTCGTTGGCAACAAGTTTACGAACAAAACGGCGAATATTTGACTTAAACCGGACAAATGTACACAAAGTTATCATCTTTTGAAAAATCAAACGAACTTTTTACTTGACCAATATTTTTCATTGAGTATTTTAAATTTGGAAAAGCCTATTGGTAGTACATCATCGAAAAATCTATACATGTAAATTTTTACATTGTATTGTATTTGCTCACGCGGTATGGCTAAAGATTTTGGAAAACGGAACTTGTCAAAGTCTCAATGAGGAAGATGAAGCGCAAACATCTAGACACTTTCTCCTCCACCAGCTTTCGCCAGACTAAGGTTAAAGAATCTTGGTAGCCACACTTTCTACTAACGCGATAAATTGGCTGGAATGGATATTAGCAGCCTTTATAAATTTGTTGCAGGCTCTAGGTATTATTGGTGCCCTCACGAAAAATCAGCCTATTTACCAAACCTAACTATAACGTCAATCATATTGATATGCAGCAATATTAGGTGGATAACTTCAAATACTCACCATATTAAACTATTTAATGATACGCAAATGTGGGTTACGGATAGAGTTAGAGAGAGAGTTAGAAGTACAAACGTGGTATGCCAACACTCAGCCATAATTATTCACAATTAATATACTAATAACTATAAATAAAAAATAATTCCCAATACTGACTTATAAACAAAACAAAACTTTATTTTCCTTAACAAAATTAATGACCTGGAGCACCAGGCGCTCCGGGAGCACCATCGTCGCCACCTTTGCCCCCTTTGCCGCCATCACCACCACCATCACCTCCATTGCCTCCACCATTGCCACCACCGCCACCATTACCACCACCGCCACCATTGCCTCCACCACCACCATTACCACCACCGCCACCATTGCCTCCACTACCACCTCCATTATCTCCACCACCTCCACCTCCACCTCCTCCTCCACCGCCATTTTTACCAGGCTCACCAGGAGCTCCATCTCTACTAAGTGGTTCGGGTGAGCGCTTCTGCCTAACCGGCCCTTTAGGTTCCCCAGCTGCAAATAAAAACAAATATACATACATGTTTATGTCAAAATTTTTGAAAATGATATATGTATGCTTTATGGGGACGCACCGTAACACTGGACCATCATGATTGTAGCCACCACGCAGAGAACAAGTAAAAGCTTCATTGCAACAATTCTCGCTGAATACTGAACTGCGATTGATGAGCTAATGCAATGCTACCGTGTTTTATACCGAGGGCATCACAAAGAATGCATAAAGAGTAACAACAGCGGATAAGGTATATAGTCACATACATACATATATACAAATACTAAATATATGTACATACCTATAAAGGTGTATGCATAATATATTTAGTGAATTGGAGTAAAGTCAAATGGAATAACTGTGCCTCTAAATATGATATTTGTACTGCGAAAAGTCACAAAATCGAGCAAACATTTTATGAAGCTTGAAAAATGCATTAATTTACAAGTAATTGTATGCACTTGAATTGAATAGATTTTCAAACAGTAAAGTATGCTCTTATTAGGCCTGCAAAAAATCACCTTAGTTTCATGTATCTGGAAAACTCTTTATGAGAAAAATAAGAGAAAGTGCTACATGCTCAACGAGCCAACTTAATTACTTGGTTGGTGAAGTAGCAGCCTTTTATTGCCTCTTCAATTAATCTCCTATATGCTCGAAATTGAAGCGTTCACCAAATTTGACTCAAAATTTGACCATTGTAAAGTAGATAAACTTTATCATTGATACCAATTTTAAATTCCTCAAAATAATATTATTGTTTGATTGAGTTGGGTTTTGGATCCTACCTCGTTTTGACTTATGTAAGTGACACAGAGACATTATTTCACTGTATAATTTTTACAAAAACAACCACAAGAAAAAGGGCTCTCATATATTTATTCTTCTGACATAAATGCATCATGCATCTTGAGGTCTGATAAGAAGAAACAGTTTCTGGTCAGACACGGAGAACACGGTGGATGTGAAAGTAATTTTTATCGCAGTTCATGCTATTCTTCAAACAGTATCATTGATTTCTGACATGGAGCATTGCCTTTATGCAACAACACTTTGTTTTTTCAGCTTGGTATGTAAACACCCATTACATCATTAATTGAACGAAATTTTGAAATAAAGCAAATATTTAAATGTTGAGCGAAGGTTATGTCTTATCAGCAAAGAAACTGTTAAATATAATTTCAGCAATTGTCATTGGAGCAAAAATATTGAATTAACTGGTAAACTTAAGCAATACTTTCAACGCTTGCCGGGAGTGAAAGCTACTAACTAAAGAACTTATCATAATTAACACAAATTATCAAGAAAACTTTGATATTTCATATTGATGATAAAACAATAATTTCTTGCAATAATGAGTTATCGAAAGTTTCCTGTAAAGGCATTTTTATTGCTCCTAGTTTTAAATGTAGGTATGTGTATGAATATACATACTTATAAGTATGTGTCAACTAGACTGACCGAGTCGCTAGAATTTTACACATAATATCAATCTTGCATAATATTTACAGATGTTGCCTTGTAGTATATGCAAATTAATATGGCCTATACATAGGGCTGCCAATACTTCTATTGATAAAAATTTATTGATTTGAAATAAGACACTGATGTATGTATGTACAACTTCGGAAAAAGAGGAGAGAAGTTCGCTATTTATTGCAATTCTGGCATCAACACACATTTTCTTTAACAGTTTCTTAAAATTACCCATTAGACCGTCAATTTCAGCACAACACTAAAACTATATACTAACAACTAAAATACTTAAACAACAAATTAACAGTACATTTTTTGCATGATTTAATCAAATTTAATCATATCGCTCACAGCTCAGAATATATGGCAACCTTATTTAGCGAATAGGCGTTAAACAAATAAATTATTGAAAAATGAAAACTTTTTGCATCATCTGAATGAATCACTAATAATACTTCATGAATATTAATGCCTAGTGAATGGTATCAATTGTCTCGAATTCAGAATACAAGGCAATTCATGCATATTTATTTTACTCTATTTGAGTGATACAACAAGTAAAACCGTTAGCTAATATATATAATAAGATATTTACAAGAACTTAATTTCGATCTAATTTCGTGAAGATACCTCGTCAAATGAAATAGTTTCCCATACAAGCACTTGCTTCCGATCGTTCAGTTAATATGGCAGCTATATGCTATAGTCATCACCATGCCAATTTTCGTGAAGATACCTCGACAAATAACAGAGTTTTCCATACAAGCACTTTCTTCCGATCGTTCAGTTTGTATATCAGTTATATGCTTTAGTAAACTGATCTGAACAATTCCTTCGGAGATCACATTGTTGCCTTAGGAAAAAATTCACGCCAAATTTCGTTCAGTTTGTATCGGCATTTTCGACAAATGAGCAGCTTCTTAGTGAGAAATGAACAGGTGCAAAATTTCAGATCGATAGCTTAAAAACTGGGGGACTAGTTTGCATATATACAGACGGAGAGACGGATGGACGGACGGACGGACATGGCTAAATCAACTCAGCTCATCATGCTGATCATTTCGGTATATATTTTATAAGGTTTCCGACGTTTCCTTCTTGGTGTTATAAACTTCGTGGCAAACTTAATATACCCTGTTCAGGGAATAAAATATCGATTAAAAGAAAAACTAGAGTATAAATGAATAAAATAGTATCTGAAATATATTGCAATATAAGGAAATTCTTATAGAATTATAACACAGGTCAACAAAAAAATTCTGTTTTTTGCGCTTGGGGTTTACCTAATATATATTCTAGTTATATAAGCAAATATATACGTAATAACGATTACGAATCAAAAATATTAGCTTTTTAAGCAAATATAGCGATTTGATCATTTTTGATTTTCGCGCCCGAGTATATGTGATGTCGGTCTTCGCAAACATTCGGAATTCGTTCTGGAATCACAAACTACCATCTCATCAATTTTTGTAATTTAACTCTGATGTTCAAATATGAAAAATTTTCTTGTTTCTTCCGTATGAAAGATGGACTCTCTTTTTGTCATGAATCACGCCTTTTTATTAACAAAAAGTATAAAAGTTGTTACTACACAATGGGAACAAATTTCCATTTTTTACATTGTTAAATTCCGTAGATTTCAAAGAAAATTACGACAGTATTAACGGGTATTAAGTATATGGAATACATGTGGGAAGTTATTGGAGACTTCAAGATGCTGTGTTTTTGAATTGCAATGCAGGGTGGGTATTCTTAATACTCCTGTTGTCTCTACCTATGGAATAGTAGGAATGATGCTGCTCAGTACCATCAAAAACATTGGCCGCCATACCGATTACGAAGTGGGAGAATTCAATATTAAATGGGAAGCAATTGTCGATCCTAAAACTATATAAATGCCGCCATTGCATATTAAATTTGGTTTTTTTAATCAATTTGTTAAGGCTCTTAAACTTGAGACCGAGTTTTTCAAATATGTAAAGAGTTTTTTCCAAAGCTTTAAGAGGTGAAAACAAAAGCTGGAATCTATTTAGGAATGTCTCAAATAAAAAAATTATAAATTGTGATAAGAGAATTTTCCAGAAGTTACGTAGAAATAAGGAGAAAAAAAGCTTGGAACAGTTTTTAGGCATTAGTGCAGTATTTCCTTGGAAACCATAGGACTGAGAATAATGACGAGCTGGTCATTCACATGACTACACATTTCCCCATCAGTAGAATGGCAGTATATTTGGGGATAAATAAGAGAAATTTCTACGGAACATGACAGGAAAAGTAAAACATTTTATTTTTAAACATTTGGAGTCTATTTTAAAAAGTTTATGGTAAGAATGAATCCTAAAAGAATGAGCGGTAAATTTTAATAAACTATTTATATGTTAAATTTTTGTGTAGTTTTATTCTGTTGGATTTTTTCATACATAAAAGCAGATTTAAAACTATTTTTTCTTCTTATTTTGTGGGATAAAAGCAATAATAATAAGGTATGTATGGTATAACCCGTACGCAAAAATGGTATAGACCGGTTAGGCCATTAAAAAAAATTGCGCTTGTTTTGAAAAAACTTGGTTGATCATTAACAGTATCAACATAACTGTCGTTATCATTATCAGTATATTGCGGTAAATTAAATTGCTTTGTTTAATACTTCTTCATGTTTTTAATTTTTTTACATAAGACCTAACAATAATTAATAAGTTAATCTATTTAAGGGGTTAGGTAGGTAGGGTAAGTTTAGAAAAATCGATTTTTTGGAAATTTTTTATATATAGTAAATATATTATAAATATTTTCTGAAAATTGAAACAAATCCGACAAATACTTTTCGACTTATTCGATAATTAGCAACTAGTTATCGGGCGCTCTGGAACGTTCGTGTAAACCTTCAAATGCGTAAATGTAGTTCGAAAACCGCTCTATAGATTTCAATAAAATTTATATAGCTTTGATCGAAGGACTTTTTGTAATTTTGATTTGTTATTAACAATTAATTATTGGTTTTTCCCAAAAATCTGAAAACACATTTTTCTTAGGCCGCCATTTTGTTAATTAAAAAAACTTTTATCAGATACTAGATTATCTATTAATAAAACTAATTTTTTCTGTCCGATTGATTTTAGATCAATCTCCAAGTGATGGTCACCGCAAGGAGCTTCGGTTGGAACTTTAAAAAATAAATACTTTTTTTCAAATTTCTGTCAAGTCAAGTTGAAACCTAATTTAAGATGCCATTTTTTTACTATTACAAAGTAAAATAATTTACTGACTTTGAGTTTAAAATTATAATTTTTACATACCTCTGACTACAACCAACCTCTTAAAACTAGACAAGCTCGATAAGTGTTTTTGATAATACGTTGCTCTTAGAAGGCCGGTGGATCTCTCATTTTCATGCGAGTTTGATTATGGGATTGTAGCTAATGGATTAGGAGGATCCTTAGTTTAAGTTCATATTTCTTTGTATTCTGCTTTAGTAATATAGGAACACAAATATCTTTGTAAATATTTTCATTATGAATATACCATGCTCTAAAAGTTTTTGATTGGAACCTTTATATATTTGGCATTTTTCACTTCAAATAAAATAATTCTCGAGCATAAAATTACAAAAGTCAATATGTTCAAGTGAACTCAAGTGCATATGCACTCAGTACTTAAAAAGTTGTGCAAATAATGGTTATAAGTAATGCAATAAATAAATAATATTTAATTACGGTATTCCTATAAGAGCGTTAAAAACGTTAACAAAAAACTTTTTAAATAATTCAGTGAATTGAAGTTCATCCGGAGGTGCATTAATACAAACAGTTATCATGAACAATATAGCGATGTGAATGTGACTCCATGAATGTACTGAAAACAACGAATACGTTGAACTCACAAAAGTCGTCTAGTCAGGAAATGAAAAGTTGTTATCGTTTTTAAGATTCGATTATGCTATTCAATCTATGGTAAAATTCGATTCTGTTATTCAATATACTGTACTGCATCTGATACACCATCTTCCAACTTGCAGTACGATTTTTCTTTTGGATTTATGTAAAATCGGCCTCAATCTCGGCGATTATCTTCATTGTCGCTAAATTTCTTCTCTTCCGTTCTTTTTTGGTGTCCTAAAACAGGAAAAAGTCGCTGATGACCTTTTCAACTTGATAGAGATTCGAATTTTATTTTCAAATTTCTCTTTCGAATGTGTTCCAAGAAAGTCTGGGAATCAATGTCCTTCTATTGTCAACACGAACCCAAACTCAAGTTAAAATCGGGTACAAATTAAAAAAAATATCTCAACAGTTTTTGTAAATACCGAACATAAGTTTGTAGAATTTTTAGAAATACAAATATTATGGATACAGGGCCAACCGTTCATTGTTTCTAATTGAACCAGCTATTCATTGTAGAGATCTAAATTTCTTAAAAAGGAATATCACTAGGAACTCTCATATAATCTATGAACCAAATATGAACTAATAATGTGGTTTTTCGCAAAAACTTGTATTAGTGAAAACAAGTCACCACTTAACACTCTAATTTGTATTTTAAACCCACGTAAGATTAAGAACATTCTATAAACTTGTGCCAGTGAGTAATACTTTCAAACAAAAATAGCAACTTCGCCCAACCTTATTTTAGCCTTCTCATAATGTAAACATATACAATAACAACTGAAAATTGCCGGCTAAAAACAAATTTCATTTTGCCATTGTTGTCTTTTTTTTGTACTGAGTACGCTTGAGATGAAAACCTGTTCTCCAAACTCACTCAGGGAATATGAATAAACTACAATATTTGTTTAAATACATACATATTAATGGCTATAAAACTTTTTTTCTTTTAGCAACAGCGATAAGAGGTCTGAACTGGATTTCCTAAAAGATGCCAATTCTGTTCTCGTCGATAGCTATTGGATGCGTATATAAATAGACATAAGCATTTGTATTTGTATTTATATAGTATTTTGTGTCACTGCTGACGAACAGCTGTCAATAAAATGAGCAAATGAGATAAGAAAGCCGCAATAAACACATAAGGAAGGCTTGGAAACGGGCGAAACTGAATAAGAGTAGCGAATCGAACAAATAACTACTATATGAAATCGAATATCATCGAAATATATGTTATCGAACTCAACTAAAACAAGTAATAATGGGCTAATGGCTGATTCACATAAAGCGTTTGTTTCGCTTTGCGCCAGACGTTAGCTTTGAAAGAAAAATTCGATGTACGAGTATGCTTTTGTATGAGTCGTTCACATCGAAGCGCAACGCAGCAAGTAAAGCTGCAAAACTATCGATTGTCGGAGTTTAAAAAATACTATCATAGTATCAATAGTTTCGCCCTTGAAATCTACTTACTTTTCGCTGCTATAAATTAAGAAACAGTTGTTTTGTACACTTCATTTTTATGAAATACTCTTTAGATTTATTCATAAAACAAAATATGAACAATGACGGAGAACTCAAAAAAATACACATCAAATTTTTCATGTTACTTTATAAACTGCTCTGATAGTTGACGAGTAATAAAAAGGTACATGTTTTACACATTAACTAACGAAATATGAGATTAAAAAATGTAGACTTATAATACATTTCGTTAGAATACTTTACTCCTCAATAATCCACTTGATGTTGTTTAAAACTAGTAATTTATTGACGTTTTTAGCCTTTAGTGCTGTTCTCCTATTAGATATCAGCAATGCAGCCTAGCTAAACATTCTGTCAGACTCTATAAATTTAAAATTCAATAATGTAATATTCGTTTATACGCAGGTTGGCAGAATTATGCCTCTGGGTCTGCATGAGTATGTATGTATATACTATATATACTTATTGTGAAATTTCATCATAACAGAATATGTTTTAATTTCATAATTTCACTCTCCGAAATCAGGAGTACTAAATAAAATGGAACCTAATTAAAATGTAAAAAAAAACTAATTAAATTTAATAATTTGTATATTATTTTAAAAATTGTCTAGGAGTATACTTACGAATTTAAAAACGACATGGGCGCAACCAAGCCAAGAATGAAAAGATGATATTAAGGCTACCATTCTTGCAAGCCACCTATCAGTTAAATCACCGGTTAATTACCCATATCGGAGATTTCTGTTAAAGTTTCTGTGAGTTGCTTAAGCCCCAATTGACAATTCTAACCGAAACTCTTGTAAAAATTGACAAAACGTTAGTTGAACAAAACTATTATACTCTGAAGCAATATGTTGCGATAGTATATAAATTTGTTATTGGTTCAAAGGCACGGCTATTATAACATTGTAATATTATGCTCGTGTTATAAAATCGCAGTGTTTTACTAGGAAATTTTGATTCATGGAAATCCCGCATTTTTGTTGCATTTGTTTACAAATAATAGTTATTTACAATTTATATTAATTAATGATCAGTAAAGTAGGTAAATGTACCCCTTCATGTAATAACATACATATACTATATGTACTATAATTACATGAGTATGCGCAGTATTATTAATAAATAACATAGAGTTTTTTGCAGATAATTATAAACAACTTTGAAATCAATTAACACATAATCGAATGCCAGCGAGGTTAGGTTATATTGCGAATACTTATCCCGATAGCGATATCTCTGAATTCTCTCTTGAAATATTTCCATCGTAAAACCATCACAACAAACCATGGTATGTGATCATATAAAGAATACTTATAGTTCCTGTGTAAGCTAAAGTAATATGCCTGAAACAACTTTAACCCCAACTTCAGGTTCAGGGTAAGAGCATCGCTCCTGAAAGAGATAGCTAAGTCAACTTCAAAAAGCTCTCTACCAAAAGCGATATTTTTAATTAGAGATCATTAGACAAATTTTTTCCCGGTATTAAGTATAAAAATAATTTAATCTTACAGAAAAAAACTTTTCACAACAAGTTCCACCGCAACAGCATTTTTTTACGTTCTTAACATAGCGTGATCAGTTGATCAACTATAAAGGAAGGAGTTCCTTACAATTATTAAATAAGTTTTATGCAGCCTTTGAAGCTGTGTAGTTAGCGTTCATTTATTTAAAGAGTTGAACTACACAATTGCCTCCGATAATAAAACAACCGGGATTATCGCTTTAATACACCGACAAACAACCCAAAAGTAGTGGAAGAAATTAATACATAAATCGAAGAATTTTTGAGGTGACTGTAACTGTATTGTCATACTAGAATCAAAAAAAGTCTAAAACGTCTAAATTCTTTATCACATAAAGTATAATAAAATGCCTGCTTATTGACTCGTCATGATCTGTTTTAATACTTAAGGTACCAAAATTAATCAAGGAAACGGAATTTCTTCTTTAGAAACCCTAATTAACGGTTGTGCTCTTGGAAAACATAGAAAGCAAGTAAAAATTGGAAGAGCTGCGACAGCTAGAGGCTAATATCCAACTAAATCCCAGTTGTTGTTAAGGTCGGTCATTTGGTACATTTAATAGTGTTTCTTCTTTGCCCAACGGTTTTAAAACAGGTGTACATCCGCCATTTCCAAAATAATTTTTTCCAAAAATTTTACTGTGTAACAAGTATAATTATAACCTTAAAATTTTTAAAAACAATTGATGAAATAGACAGTATAAAAGTAATCGCCTTTTTTATTATGTCATACCAGGTGTGCCCCTGAACAAGCTCTTTTCCATAAAAATTTGTAGACTATATTTTTTGTGTGTATGTACATATGTATTTATTATATTATATATTTTATTATATAAGTTTATTAAAGTAATGCAATTTCCGAAAAAAATTTATAGACATTAGTCAAATCAAAACCATTCTCAGACTGCCTTATTTACCACCACCACCTCCGCCACCACCGCCGCCGCCTCCTCCACCTCCACCGCCACCGCCACCAGGATATAGCTCAGCAATTGGTCGGAGCTCATGATTGGGAATAGCTGCAAATTAATGTGTGCATATGAAAAACCCATTCTACATATATTTCTACTCATAATCGAAGCAACACTTACCGAATGCCATAGCCAGCATGGCTAGTGCGAAAACGAAGAGTGCATAGAACTTCATGTTGCAAGCTTAAAGTCTACAATGATCGATGTTCGATGTAGCTGTTATATTTATACGTAAATTACGACGTTTCAGACGCGACTGCTTATTTGTTATCAATCTGAGAAGGTTCGGTGTTGACATATTTATGTCGGCGACAAAGAATCCCCATGTGGAGGAGTGTCATTAAATTGCATTAGGTAATGCATATTTGTAAATAAATATTTATGTATAAGTATATACATCAAGTGTGTATTTTATTGTTTTCTCGCAACCTGTTGCTACAGAGTATAATAGTTTTGTTCACCTAACGGTTGTTTGTATCACCTAAAACTAATCGAGTTAGATATAGGGTTATATATATATAAATGATCAGGATGAAGAGACGAGTTGAAATCCGGGTGACTGTCTGTCCGTCCGTCCGTCCGTCCGTGCAAACTCTAACTTGAGTAAAAATTGAGATATCTTTATGAAACTTGGTAGACATGTTTCTTGGTACCGTGAGACGGTACACAGGATCACATTAGGGAGGGGCATCTGCAGTTAGAACTTTTTTTTTTTAAGTGGGCGTGGTCTCGCCTCTAATAGGTTTAATGTGCATATCTCCTAAACCGCTAATGCTATAATAACAAAATTCACTAGAAGCAAATGTTTTTAGCACTTCTATTGACGGTGTGAAAATAGTTGAAATCGGGTGGCAACTCCGCCCACTCCCCATATAACGGTACTGTTAAAAACTACTAAAAGCGCGATAAATCAAGCACTAAACACGCCAGAGACATTAAATTTTATTTCTGGGATGGTATGAGACGACTTTATAGGAACCGCGTTCAAAATTAGACAGTGGGCGTAGCACAGCCCACTTTTAGGTGAAAACCCATATCTTGGGATCTGCTACACCGATTTCAACCAAATTCGGTGCATAACGTTCTTTTCATGTTTCTATGTCATAGTGCGAAAATGGGCGAAATCGGACAAGCTTACTTCCCATGTAACACCATTTTCAATTCCATCTGATTCTTTCACTTTCCACTATGCAAATCAGGTAACAATGATTATATCGGGGTAAAACTTTGCGTGAATAATGCAATTAAAGTATGCCACCTTGCGGCCAAAAATTGTCTAAATCGAACCAAAACTGTTCAAACCCCTAAGTACTAAATATGTGGACCCCAGTGCCTATAGTTGACCTTCTACCGAAAATATCAGTCAATCCACAAAGAAATATCAAACGAGTATACCATTTGACTTTGCGAGAGTATAAAATGTTCGGTTACATCCGAACTTAGCCCTTCCTTACTTGTTTTACATAAATATATTAGAATGACAGACCGGAATGAATTTCACTTTGTTTTGTACTTACTACTTAAGCTTTTCACACACAGTTGAAGTTGCACTATTTTTTATTGCCTCCCTTGGCTTAATAATTCTAGAATTTTAACCCGATATTCGATATACAATGGCTTTTACTTTTTATTCAATTTCGCTCTTATGACAATTTAAATATGTTCTTTAAAATACGAAGATTCATTAAAGCTTTAAGAGACGGAGAGGGCAATGTTCATACTTATACACAATCTTGACTTTCCTCTCTTGAATACTTTACTCTCTAAATACTTTTAGAGTCCAAGCTGTACATGTTTAATCATTTTTGGTTTCAGCACACAGTGCACACAAAAAGGGATATCCAATAGATATGACATTAAAGACCCATTCATATACAACTTTGCGTGACAGTTCATACTAAAAAAACGAAGCGAAGGAAAGAATGGGTATGCCACAATGAACACTTTGCTTTCAGTGTTTTTCTCTAATAAAAATGGCAACTGTTGCTTGGGAAAGCGTGTAAAGATGAGAGATGCCCAACATTTTGCTTATCTTCGCGTCGAAAACTTTTTATGTGAACGTACTCATACAAAAGCGTACATCGAACTTCTCTGTCAAAACAAATGTCTGACGCAAAGCGAAACAAAAGTTCTACGTGAATTGGCCATAATTGATTACCACACGGTCAAGATTTAGCTCCAATACCTTTTTTTGAGAAACATTAATATAAAGTTTGAACAACAACTTAATGTTTCTTGTGCTTTGGGTAAGTGCAGTTAGCTAGTTTGTATACAAAATAGGGGAGGAAATAATAGAATTTATTTTCTCTTTTTAACTTTTAGGTGGTGGCTGGGGAGGTAACGGTACGGGAAGCGGAGGTGGTGGAGGTGGAGGTGGTGGCTATAAAGGTGGTGATGGTGGCGATGGTAATTGAATTAAGTAGCCAACAAATTTTTAGTGATCAATCGCATATGTATGAAAAATTATATATGAATTCTACTTAACACTTATGTTAGTAACATAGCTTTCTTTTAAGTTAAAAAACGACGATTTGAGAGCTTAAAATGAAATATTGAATTTTTTTAAGCTATTCACACATATACACCGCGGTGCGTACCCGGGTACCCGGTTACTAACATAAGGGTTAAAAGTAAAATATTTGTTGGTGTTATTTGTAAATATAATTTTAAATATACTCTTTAAGAACTAAAAGTGTTAAAATTTATTATTAAAAAAAAAAAACAATATACATATGTATGTATATCACAAACTGTGAACGAGGCCTTTTAATTTCTAGTGAAACAACTTCCGGAGAATTGCATATAGACCTATAGCTATAAGTAAATAACGAAGGCAGCTCTTAGACGAATATAAAGAACGCGATTAAAATTGTTCCACATCTGGGCTGAACCAGGCATTAGCGTTAGGCAATAATATTAGTATATTCGAATTGCTGCACTAAAATCCTAAAACTTTGAGTTAAAAGTTAAAATCGGAAAAAATCAAAGATTTCGATCACTTCTAATTATTATCAAAGGAACGTACTCAAATTTAATCTCGAAAAAGTATTGTAATCCAATACAAGCTCTTATTATGTCCGATTATCGCAGAATTTTCTTCTTTTTCTCGACACATTATTTGTGAGACTTCCGAGCAAACGTTTTTTACATATATATTATATTATTGATTTAATTTTGATACAAAATTACAAATTAATTTTTATATTTGTATATTCTTGCCGTTTTGCCGCTTACTTATCAAGAAAATTATAAAAGACATTTCCCAAATAGTATAAATACTCCAGCATGTAACAAAATTACCTCACGTATCGTTAATTTCCTTCAAAAAGTAGGACCACATCATGTACTAGAACAGGACCACTTTACATTCTAACCAACACTAGTGACCGAAGAGTTCCGATTGCACCGAAACTATATTATCCCTTACAGAAGTTGATTCCGATCATTCTTTTTGTATGGCATATGCTATACTCATCTCATCTATAAAATTTTTTCGGAGATTGCATTATTGCCTTAAATAATAATCCATGCCAAATTTCTTGAAGATACCTCGTCAAATGAAAATGCTATAGTCGTCCGATATCGGCCGTTCCAACAAAAGTGCAGCTTTTTAGTGAGAAAAGAGCAGGTGCGCAATTTCAGATCGATAGCTTAAAAACTGAGGGACTAGTTTATATATATACAGACAGACGGACATGGCTAAATCAACTCAGCTCATTATGCTGATCATTTGTGTATATATTTAATAGGCTCCCCCACGGGTGTTACAAATTTCGTGGCAAACTTAATATAACCTGTTCAGGGTATAATATAGTTACATTAACATTGCGATGTGATTACTTTAAAACATTACCTAATTGTCTACGTGGTCCTCACATTTTTTGTGGATTATTATCAGAAAGAAAGAGACATACATATATACATATAAGTACTGATCCATATAAATAAAGAACTTCATAATATTGACAAATATGTTCTCATATGTAACGGGAGTTTTTTGGCTGTATAGAACTATTCTTCAAATAAGATATAATAACAATAATAAAATTGTCAGTATTTCCAGCTTTGTTAGCTCATATATTTTTCCAAATTAAATTTTAGTGTTTTCTGGTAGCGATTTTGAAAAGATTTAAAACCGTGAATGCTATTAAACCTTGACTTTATTTTACATATAGTTCTATATTAATTTAGATAAAGTTATTTTCTATAAATTTAAATGCAAGTAGGTCACAAAATAAAATCTAAATATAAATGCAATCATTGTGATAACCAATAAAAATTGGTAATTTTTTTCGAAATATTCACTACTTTTATAGAAAGCTATTTTCGGGACAAGAGCTTGCGCTAATTATCCCTTGTACCAAAGTATAGGAAAAGCTATCGGGATGCCCACAAACGTCCGCAGTTGTGAACTATTAGATATTACGCACCAAGTTCTATGTAATCAGATTGCTAGAGATTTCCTTAACCAATGTTAAAATATCATTTCAAAACCAGCATTGAATGCAAAATCTCAGCTGTCAGAGTTAAGATATTGAAGTTACAACATAAGTGCTACATGGAGACTGAAACTTTTTTGGCTTGAAAATTTGGCCTAATTTTGATCTTTACATCCAATCGATCTAATAGCGCACAGTAATATTGTTTAATGTCTAAACCATTTTGGTGCCGTGAATAGTAATCTCAGATAGTAGTGTTTAAAACTGTCGACCGAATTTTGTGTTTTCGGCGTTTTGGAATAGTCGTCCAACATCAACCGTGCAGCAGCCATACAGCAGAGAAATTGCAGATGATATTTATTTTTTTTTTTCGTTCTTCGATTGTGAACTATCCGGTTAAAAAGTCTTGTTCAATAATTGTGACATTTTCACTTAAATTTGGAACCAGACAAAAAGGGCTTGATACTATGAATTTTTTCTTTGTTTGAGAAAAAGTTGCAAAGTTTAACATTAAAACTCAACGAAAAAGCTGGATACGGTTGTAAACAGTGATATCAACCACATAACACAATTTAAAATAATATTAGCACCTTATAACAAGAGATAATGAATAAAGCCAACAAGCGTCCAAGGTACTGATGCAAGAGTTCACTCACCCTCAGAATGGGGAAATGTCGATCGTACGTTTGTTACATTTACAATGCTATAAATAAACACCTCACACACATATGTATGTACATATGTAACACACAACTCGGTCCTACAGTTTATGATCTGCTGATTGAAATTGTTTCTATCCACTTATTGCATTATTTGTGTTATGCCCACATTATCAATTGTGGGGTTTTCCGAAATTAATTTTGTTTCTCTTGCAACACAAGACTTTCCGTGGGGCTTACCCAGTTTTTAAGATTTTCTAATACATATGACTGCTTCATCCATTTTAAGTGCATTCGTTTGATATTTTAAATTGATCTCTAACAGCTGATAAGTTTGAAGCTTGCTTGCACTGATGGGAGGTTTGTATTCTCTCTCTATCTCTACAGTTTGTAAAAAAAAAAATTTTAAATTTAAAAGACAGCAGTAAATATTTGTTTTTTTTTTATTATAATTAATTTATTATTTAATAATATAAAACAAAGGTTAATTACCTATTATTTAGGTAATTACTGCTACTGGTATTAAGGGCTGTGAAACAGTACTTTACTGAATAGAAGTCACAAATTAATAAAGAATATTTTTTAGAATAATATATATATATATTAACAATATTTCAATTCTTAGTGAAGAAAACCTATTTGCACTTTATTATTTTTGGGAAATTAACCGGAAAAGACGGTTTTGTAAGAATCTTCTATTTAAAATCATCCATCCAGATATAAACTTTTCGACTTTCAAAAGAGATACTACGGCTCTTTTAACCGCCGTAATACAAAATCTAGTTCATTAACTAATTATAACATTATAATAAAGTACATCGAGAAGCGCAAGTTCTGTGTTCGATCCTTATTCTAATCAGGTAGTAAAATCGAATAACTAAATCCAAATAACGTTACGAAACAAAATCCGTTACGCTCGAATTATACAGAACGCCGCCATTGGTCAACTGAGCCACTACAAGTCTTATAGTTAAAAATATTTTTGAGAAGAGTTGCCATCAGCTCTGTATATTTTATTTGTTTAACTAAAAAAAAACAACTTAAATATTATATTACAGACCTGAACCGGTTCAAAAGATATTCACGGTATGCCGGAGATATATTCGAGAAGAGCTGCCTCTAGTTTTAAAATTTTAATTCAAACAAATTCATAAAAGAAATACAATATTACAATATTGTCATCAAAAGACGAAATTCGAGAATCGTTGATGTGCATGGAAATAACTTTACTAGGATCAAGGGTTAATTTATTACAGGACTTTGGTAATCAAAATTATGAATAAACCCTTATTTTAACTTAATTTTATTGAAAATAGTATAATTTTTGGAATCAATGGGTGAATTTTGATATAATGTTTTCAATACCTAGGTTATTATGTTTATGTTGTAAAAAGAACTGGAAAATAACTTTTAATCAACTTTCAACTACATAATTCATTTATTTGAATAAGTAATGATTTTTACTAATTTATTTGCTCTGAAAACGATGTCATAGGCTGTGTAAATCTATTTTCCAGCCCCTCCTCCTCCACCACCGCCTTGCCAACCTCCACCTCCGCCACCGCCTCCTCCAACCCAAGGACCACAGCAATCACCTCTGTAAGCTTCCGGATTTGGTTGAGCTAAGGACAGACAATTAATAACTTATTATATAAACTATATAATATTCATATGTAGAAGTATACTCACCAATAACTAACGTTAATATAGCCAGTACAATGGCTAGGAATACTTGGGTCTTCATATTGTTAGTTATATTGCTGATCCATTTAATTCGCTCCCGTATTTATACCAAATTATTATAGAATTTTTGAAAATTCAACTTTCGTACACTGGAAAAACTTTTAATTAAGATGCATGGAACTAAAATTTGATTTTTTCTAATTTAATTGTTCCTCTTTATTTCAGTAGTTAACCTGATCCGACAAGATTCTTATGCAAAAATCATCGACCTTGCTAAGCATTCAACACTTCTAGTCTTTTCCTTAGTCAAAATGGTTATATATTTTAATTTTTAGATGAAATGTCGTTCAGTGTATTCAAACAAGTATATTAAGTTACATTATATTCAAGTTATGCTGGATTAATACAATTAATACACAGTATTTTATACAATCCGCGGGATAAGTTTTGATAGTTATAGCATACATATGTCTGTACAAACGAGGTGTGTTCAAAAAATAACAGGAAATTTCGTCACAAGGTCACACGGTGCTAATGTCTGGCGAATATGAAAGCTGTGGCATCGTTACATGGTTTCTGTAAAATTTAAGGCGTATTTTCTACGGCTTCATCTTAAAAGTATTGATGAATGCCTAATGCCTGAAACACACCTCAGAGCTCAATCATTCTTAAAATTCAATAAACTCGAACTTAGAAAACTCTGGCGAAGCAAACTACTCACCTTCTGATCAAGCAAAAATTCCCGACGTCTGTGTTACAAGATAAATTTCATTACAAAATATTGAAATAGAGAACAGCTTTGATCTCAGCTCAGATTATTCCCATGTTTTTGACATTTTATGAACATATACCATATATAAAGTCTGTCACCAATTTTATAGATTCGAATTATTCAAGAAAATAACTGCTGAAAATATTGGGAGCTGTAGCAAAATAACTAAAGAAATATTAAAGTTTACCAAGTAATTGCAACATGCTGCATCGCGCAACACTCCCAATTTTGGCAAGGGAGTGATATATAGGAAATATCGAATTGGAATTTTGGATTTAAAAAAGATGAAGCGAAAAGCCAGACAAAAGTGGCAACAAACGCGGTTACCGGCTGATAAATGTAGCCTTATTAACTTAACACAAAAAAAGTAATACTAAAAAAATTATGGATTTAAAAAGTAGTATATCAGTAATCTGGCATGTAAAAAAGCACAAACTGCTGGTGGATTTAAAAGGTCGACTTGATATAATAATCATCTCAAAGGTATAGATAGCAGTTGATCTAAAGATGATAAAGAGAAATAGAAGAATTTTCTGATCATCTGGCTGAAGTTCTCTCATTACAAGTTGATATTACTCATGATTTTGAAGTAAATCACCAGGTGAGTAACACTGAATTTTTACGCCAAATTTTATTAAAATGCCTTTGTAAGCTGGCTCTGCTTTTTAGTGCGGTCTTTACACTGAAATACACACCTTCATTATGGAAAATATCAGAAATGAGGATAGTGGTAACAAAAAGTTTAAAAAGCCTTAACTTCGGTTGCACTAAAGCTTTAATACCCTTCCCAAATACAAAAGGTTCCTTAGAAGAATTTGATTCGGTCTGAACAATTTCTTCGGAGATTCCGTTATTGCCATACATAATGATCCGTTCCAAATTTAATGAATATATTATATAATATATCGTCAAATGAAAGTTTTCCATGCAAACACTTGATATCGATCGTCAAGTTTGTATGACAGCTATATGATATAGTGATCCGATACCGGCGATTTCGACAAATTAGCAGTTTCTTGGTGAGAAACGGCCATACCCTAAATTAAAGATCGATATCTCAAAAACTGAGAAACTAGTTCTAAAGACAAATGGACAGACAGATGGACATGGCTAAATCAACTCAGCTCATCATGCCGATCATTTATGTATACATTTTATAGGGTCTCCGACGTTTCCTTCTGGGTGTTACAAACTTCGTGGCAAACTTAATATACCCTGTTTAGGGTATAATTATAGTCAGAATGATGCCTTATATAGAAAATTGTAACATACCGAGCATGGCTTGGTTTCAGAGCAAAATATTACACCATTTATCAAATACATCGTATCACAAATATTGCTGAAAACTCACTGGAAGTTAAAAGGTGTGCTGTGCAGTCTTCCTCAAATAAAGTGCAAAAGCTCTTTCCTCATTATGTATATTTAAGAATTAAATCAAAGTTATATATGAAAGATCGTTACTATTACTTCAAACAAGGAAATCAATTTTCAAAACTACGTAATATAAAGATAGCTGCCTTTAGGTATCATTCTAGGACCATTGTTATGTATTATCTGCACAAATGACCTTTCGACCCCTAATAAAACTACAATAGCAACATTTGCTGATGATACTGCCTTTCTATCCAGAGAGAGAGAGTCAACGAAAAAATTGCAATCTACATTTAATCAGGTACTATTGTGACCCAAAAGGTGGGATATATGTTATAACTAAATAATACGAAATCTGTCTTTACATAATGGATACAGATACCTTACTTTCACACGGTCAAGTATCTAGGCATGACCCTAGATACAAAACTTCACTGCGGTTCTGACAAATGAACAGCACAGTTTCAGATCGATATCTTTAAAACTAAGTTCGCTTATACACAGACGGATATGGCTAAATCGAATCAGCTCGCCAAGCTGACCATTTATATATACACTTTATGTCTCCGACGTTTCCTTCTGGGTGTTACAAACATCGTGGCAAACTTAATAGTATACCCTCCTCTTGGTATAACAATAAAAGAAATACTTAGTAAATAAAATCTAGAGTCCAAGAGTATACTTGTTTCGTTGACAATATACTTGTATAATATACATGTCAAAATGTTGATACAGGTGACTTTTTTTCTGTCACTCCGTTCGTCAAAAGTCCACATTTTACCTGTTTTCCACCATTTCGTTTGACTTGAAATAATATTCTAAAATACATGTATAAATGACGGTATTCTTTAAATAGACTAAGCAATTAATTTTCTTTTTGATAATATGTTTAACCATATAAACAATACACTGATTTCCGTTCATGCGATTGTCTTTATAGTGTATACCCCGTTAATCCGCTTTTCCATATTAGCTCTTCTTGGCCTGCAATAAATAGAGCTACAAAATTTTATATTGAAATAAAGTCTTGTCAAAAACGCAATAATTAATCTCACAAGGACAATCATTAACAACTTTGGAGACAGCAGACTGTATGAAGAGAACATTATATATATTCAGGGTTTCTTTAATTTAGTCAATACATACATATGTACCCTTTAAAATATATGGTCGACGAAAACCTAGTTATCCTGTTATTTGCTTGAAGAAAACAATCTGTAGCTTAAAAACAATTTTTGTATTTTTTACAAGATATATACATATGTTATAGTTATATGTATATATGTTAACTTACTCTATGATGTACGACAGATAAGCGAATAATCGTGATCACAGAAACACATACACATTGTACACTTCAATCGATCTCAATTCATTCACATCACTGATTCACATGTTTATATTATTTATTTTATGTTATCATTCATATGGTATGTAATTATATGCAAATGTATATGTATTAACAAGTGTTCACATAGAGATTGCCCTTACGGTAAAGCACTGAAAAGCTATGATGGTGAGGCAACAAACTATAAAAGGCACGGCTTCTGGCTTAACTTGCTATTCAATACTCTGATCCTCACTCGAGTGCGATAAGAAAGCAGCTCCCGTTGAATAAGCACAATGCAATCAATATTCCACTTCGTAATGCTTTCATTAGCAATGATTGCTTTGTTGAGTGGTAAAAATATTCTTCTATACTATTATTAGTTTTGAAATAATGCATTTTTATTTAATATAGGCTTTGCGATAGCCCAAGGAGGAGGCAATCCAGGTGCTCCCGGCGCTCCACCTGGTGGACCAGGCGCACCAGGCAATCCCGGAGGTTAATAATTTGAAGTATAATGAATTTATATTTCTTTATTTTAAATTAAAATATAATACATGCATACATACAATACATAAAAATGTATTTTTATTCAAAATAACATATGTACATATGCCAATCATTCATTGTAAAAATATATGCTATACTTATATATAAAAGGCTAACAATTTGGGTTGGCAATATCATCGATGCATTATGCACAGTCACAATCGCCGCGTGCACAGCGCAACTGCTGCGAAGGTATTGGAAATACACTCAAGATCAAATTTGACTCAAACGGGTACATTTAAACTGTGAAGTTTGATCTCCATATATCAGTTAGTTTATGTTTGGCAGCTATTATTGACGAAAGGCTTGTCTGACGATTATTACCATGGTCAAAAAGAATTGAACAACGAGTTTGCTTAAAATTTTCCGTTTCCAATGGAATTGCGGCTACGCAATCGTTGAAAATGTTGTTTTGAGTAATTTACTTTATAACGAACACAAGCACTTGAGTGGCACAGTATTCAGTACGGTGGATAAAAAAAATAATATTTTTTTGTTCGCTTGGAACTCTGAAAAATAAGTTCTTAGACACTTCTAAGAAAGTCTCGCCAAGTATGATCTCTTAATCGTAACGGAAATGTTCTCCGCCTTACAGTTTTCAAATTTTTTTCTAATTATCAGATAGGGAACAGACAACAGTTACATATATTGACAATCGATTTATTTCTAGTCAGTTTAAAAAGTTATGTATATTTAATTAGTGTATTTTCTAAAAAATATATAATTCTGTGTCAAATTGCCGGAGTAAAGCGCTTTAAAAGTTAGGTTATAAAAATATATCGACATCACAAACGATTTTATAAAGTGAAATATATACTTCAATTTAGTTTTACTTACCATAATTAATTTATGTATGGAAAAAAATAACAGTACTCTACTGTAAATTCTTTTTATCATACGTATATATGCATTTTACATTTTTGCGATCGATACAAACAATAATGGTTAAAACATTGCTCAACTTATCATAGTTTTGAACCACCTTTTAAGCGCTTCAAAGCTTCTAAACTAAAGTGTTACAATACAGGGAGGGCTTTAAGCTCTAATAACTGTTTAATGAAAATTTAATATACTACTAATTTTTTCTGACTCATACTAAGAAGGATTTCGTTACTACAAAGACGAAGATCTGTAAAGGTCTCTACTAGACTATAACCCATTCTTTGAAAGAAAATTGCATTTGATAATATAACTATAAGCTTCTGATTTTGACCAAGCACCGAAAATACATACATTTATGGCAATATATACATAATTAAGTATATACAGAAACTAAAACAAATCATTTTAAAAGTAGAAACTAGATAAGTTTGCGGCAGTAAATCATTTTCTCTAACCAATTTGAAGTTGAATAGTGGCGAGATAATTATCGTATCAAGGCATGGTTACTGTTGAAATGAGTTAAGCCTCCCCCTACATACACACCACTTCAAGGGAAAGCTGGCGCGCCCTAATATAATACACCACACGGGACAATAGAACACACCACAACACCGCGCCTGTACACCACCAGTTAACAAAAAGGATGACCCCAGCAGCTTCTGTACTTCATTCGATACGACAGCTTCCGCGCACAACTAAAAGTATTTCGACTCGACACCACTCCGCACCCATTCGTTTTTGTCTACTTTGTAATACTTTACAGATATGTATTAACAACAATAATAATAACTGGCTTTAATATGTAATAAAATATTGCACTCGAGAAAAATCGCATTTTTATTTATAATTTTAAGTGTATTGAAGTGTCAGCATTTGTGGGTGGGTGCTCCCATACAAAGTGTGTAGCGCTTTAAATAGTTGAATTAAAAAGTATTTGTAATGTCCATACAAACAGAATAATAATAAAATAAGTTGAATTTTATTATATAATCATATAAGTATAAATTCCTTGACACATTAATATTATAGTTTTATAATTATTTCAAATATTTCTTAACTCTATAAGCCCGAGGCATCTATCATTTATAAATGCACTACAGGGTATTGAGTCATTTCATTGATGTAGTGACAGAAAACATTTTCCATTTCAGATTTTCTTGGTCGGATAAAAATCCGGGTCCGTTACGGTTACATAAACCCAACTGTCATCGTGATTTATACCAATTGTTTATGCGATTTGAAGTTTTCAAAGGTATTTCCAATCTAAGAAAGCTTATATAATATTCGATACCGATTGCTTATGATATGACTTACACTAACACTTCCTCTTAAAATCTAGAAGCTATTCGAAAGTACCATAGCATAAAATTCATCGAATGTACAGTTGGGCAACCTTTAAACACCAAACCACAAACAAAAGCAATAACTTTGTTCCCTCATGAAGCAGAGCTCTTAGCGCCACTTAGATCGATGGGTATACTTACATACTATATTTAAAAATATATTATAGCAATTAATAATGCTTCAGCAGAAATTTTATACGTACAGGGTGGCTCACAAATCTGTAGCACGAACCGTATTAACTTATTTTCTGTGTGAGTAATCGACTTACTTTTTTTTCAATTTTATCATTTATATTTTTAATGAATTTTAGCATACCGCAAAGAGGATTTGGATAGTGCAGCGGTACGGGACGGGATTTGGGCGGCACTCCTCCGAGTTGATGGACCATTATGATGTTGTTCAACATGTTTGGCGAATCAGGAAGTATCGCAAGAACCGTACCATCGTTCAAGAAACAATCGCGGCTGTTGCATCGTTAATTCAGACAAATCCAAGAGTTCCGACTTGCAACTTATCGGCGTAACTTGCAGTCAGCAGACGGTCATTACAGCAGATATTTCGTGATGACTTAAACTTGTTTCCGTACAAAGTTTAAATCTCAAGCCGGTTAAACCCTCTAGATTTGCCATATTCGCCTGGAAAATTATTGAAATGGCCGAAGAAGACAATAACTTGATAAATTACCTTTTTATGTCTGATAAGGCCCATTGTGATCTAAACGGAAATGTAAATAGACAAACGTATATGGAGTGAATCAAATTCAGAAATAATCCACGAGAGGGAAGTTCACCCAGACCGGTTATTGCGGAGCTCCAATGAAATTTTGAAAACAAATTAATATGAGGAAACTCCACTTTCCCCTTGCCCTCAAGGTTACCTGACCTCACTGCGCCACACTTTTCTTATGAGCTTATGTCAATCAGAAATCTGACTAAATTGAAGCAGTCCAATAAATCGATAATTGAGGCAATCCAAACTTTAGCCCTTCAGACCGCAATGAATAATTTTCAAATTAGGTGTCGCATATACGTGGCTGAGAATGGAGGTCATTTACAGTCCATAGTTTTTGAAAATAATTAATTATATAAATATAATAAAATTGGCTATACAATAAAAAAATAAATGTAATGCATTGAATAAAAAAAAGGTTAGTACGGTTTGGTTTTGTCTCACGATTCGTGGGCCACCCTATACTTGTATATATCATACATATGTACATAGGGCGAACTTGAAGTTCTTACAGAACCTTCAACCACGAAAACTGACTACGCTCGCAAAACTTTTATGTACAAAAATGACAAATGAGTGGACGGGTATAAAAGTAAAGTTTAGCTGACGAGAACCACAGTCGATACAAGTAATTCTTCACGCCTTCTCTTACTAAAAAAAACGACAACAAAATGGTCAATTCAAGTAGTGCACTGCTAATTGCTGGCTTCATTTGTTTGATGACTTTACAAAGTGTAAGCAAATTTATTTTTCCTTGTTTTTATGCGAAAACGCGTTAGAATCCTACTTTCAACGGATTATCTAGCATCTATTGACAACAAAAAACTATGTTACTAATATTGTATATTTTGATATTTGACAGCTCAACGCACTCATTGAAGACGCTTACAAGTTATCTGGAAAGCGTAAGCCATTGATGACGCGCGAGGATCCTTCAACTTTGGAAGATTACAAACGCACCAAACGCCAATTACCGGGACCGCTGCAAGAGTTTCAAGATTTTATAACACTTTCAAAGGCACAATGCGCCAAAGATTTGAATATTAATCCGAATGAGTTGCAAAAGTCGCTGCTTTACGAGGATCAACCGACTTCCACAGAGAAGTGTATGATGGAGTGCATTTTGAAACGCATGGAAGTGGTGAGTTTTCTTTTTATATCCTGAACTGGGTATATGTATTAAGTTTTCCAGGAAGTTGTACCGCCCAAGAGGAAACGTCGGAAGCATGTAAAGTGTATATATTAAAGATCAGCGTGACGAGCTGATTCGATTTGGTCATGACCGTCTGTCTGTATATATGTGAACTAGTCAATCAACTTTTGAGATATCGATCTAATATTTTTCGCACATACTTTTCTCCCCAAGAAGCTACTCTTTTGGAGAAAACGCCGATATCGGACCACTCTAGTATACAGCTGACCACTCTAGTATACAACTAACTGATCTTCATAAAAACTATTTTTTCCTTAATTCGACTTGAAGTTTATTTATATCAAAAAACATGGCTAAAAAGAATTAGCAAAACGTTTTCTGTTGGATACAAACTGTGCCAGTTATGTTTTCAGATTTAGTTATACATATAGATAGTTACTATAAGAAATGCACCTGTAAAGGGTATGAAGTTAACTTTTTTCTTTAAGAAAAATAATTACAAATTAAAATTTAAAATATATCTTCCAGATGGATAAAAATGACTCGTTGTCGACGACGGCAATTGGACACATCGCTGACATTGTGAGTACATTTACGGTTTCAACTCCACACGCAGCTATAATAGTTCTTAACTTTTTTGCAGATTGGCGAAAATAATGCCTTACTCACGTCAATTGCCATGGCCTCAGCTGAGAATTGCAAAAAATTCATAACAGCGGAGGATTCTTGTGAGCGCGCCTTTCAAATAAATAAATGTATCGGCGCCGAAATGAAGATGCGCAAAATTAAGCTTATATATTAGAGTAACTGTAAATGTCTTAAAATAAAGACGAAAAGTAAAATATTACCTATAGCAACAAATTGATTTGCTTGCAATGTCTGCAAACCAATTTTAAGGTACATTTGTTTGAAAAAAACGTACTGTCTAAATAAATGTTTCGAAATATCCATTTTTATGCCTGCGGCTATGATGCATTCCTTTTTTTTTTTTATTTGCACAATATTACAATGAGTCACATTTTGTTGTTGTTGCTTTTTTTAACATACAACATTTTTCGGGTTCTAGAGTTAGATAACGTCTCAACACAAATCTTTCACAAGTCTCATGTACTACGCTTACATACAAACATACTTTTATATTCAAAGCGATAGCTATCACCCTCGCAGGGGTAAGAATTCTTGATATTCTAGAGCATCATTGATACGTCCGTCATTTGTCATAGTAAGTGGATGTGACAACAATTAAGGGACCACATTTAACGCGATATTCTTGTCTCAAGGCATTAATTATTAAGGTTAATTCGATTGCTATAAATAAAAAAAAAAAAAATTTTTACTCTAACTTTTTTTAACAAGCTTTAACTTATTTATAAGCTTAAGCTTATTTTCGCAATACGAACTGGCGTCCACATATTCGGTACCTAGGAGCTTAAATAGTTTTGGTCCGACGTAGACAATTTAACACCGGCTCCTAATATGGCCTTTTGTACAATCTGTTTGGTAAAATTTAATGTCTGTGGCGTATTCATTTATAGATTTATCGTAGTTTTTAGGAAATGCGTTATATGGTGGGTGAGCGGAATTATTATCCGAATGCACCCATTTTCACAAAGTGGGCAGAAAAGCCAAAAGAACTTGCCCTGAGTGAACTTGGTTATTACAGCTTAATTAGGAGATACATACACACATATGTACATTAAACTTATTAGAGGGTGGCACAACGCCCACTTTTTAAAAAATTTGTTCAACCATAGATTAACCTCGCTATTGTAATTTCTTGTACTAAATAACAGCCTTGAATCTTATGTGGAGCTTAGTTATGTCACTTTATATGTTATGATGATTTAATTAATGGCGTTTAGTGGGCATGGCATAATTGCGATTCTGCTCATCTGCAATATCAACTCTCCTAGGGTGCCAAGGAACATCAAGATATCTCATTTTTTACTTAAGTTAGCGCTTGCACAAAGGGTCAGTCACTTGAAATTTAACTCATCTCGTCATCCTGATGATTTATATACTTATACTAGGATCGCCAGTGGTCGAAATTCGACCAATAGAAAATATAATTTATTAACAATGTTAATAGGTTTTAATTTTTATTGAAGAATTTGAACCAAATGTGAACAAAATTTAAAGTAAGTTGTAGAAAACAATTTACAAAAATTAAAATTTATAATTTATTCTCGTGCAAAATCAAATCTGCACGATTCACGGTAATTGCCATACAAATCTCTTTCTACCCATTGCACACTCTATCATAATGTTCCTTCATTGTACGAAATGAACGAATAAATGAATTAATTCTATCCGATTCAACAGAAATTTGGCTCATTAAAACAGCATCGCAACTTTTATTTGATTGCTCTCGCATTCTATATTGAACAGCCGTATCGAAATCGTAAAAATACAACTGGACATAATTTGGCGTATGATGATATGCTGTGTCACTGGGTCCTGTTCTGTGATAAAATATTAGCTTCCCAACTGGCCATAGCATAGGCCGAATTGTAGCATCGAATATTGTCGAAATAATTATTGGACTTTTTCTTTATATTCATATCATTTGATGTGAGATTCATATAATGAATTCAAACAATCATTTTGTGTTAATAGTGAAAGATGGAATTTAACCTTATGACAACACATAGTTAGGGAATTTTTTCACGCATTGTAGACTCTAAAGCAAAATGCTTCGCTAAACAAAGCCTATAAACCAAGTTGATAGAACCAATATGAAAGGGATCAAAATTTCGGCGGTATTTCAACAAATGCTCTTTTTAACGAACTGAATTATTACCAACTTCAATTTGATTTAAATTTATAGTATTAATAAAATTTCGTGTTCTACTCAATTACATATTTTCTCTATTTCTTTGTCTATGTACTTATATACTTTCCCTGTAAGCGATTTACGGCAAGGCATGATGATATAGATTTATTTTTTTGCGCATCGACGACAATACACTTCCAAAAAAAAATTTTGTTAATTGAATGAATGAAACAAATATGGCCTACGGATCATACAAATTATGTTCACAATTGTTTACAAATTGCAAGTAAAGAAAAAAATAAACTCGTCAAAACACACGAAGAAATTATCTCTCGAACTGAAGTGCTGTTGGTGTCGATTCACCCAAGAAATTAATCTTGAAAAAAAAGGTAAAAAATTTAACTATCAATAAAGGCACTTGAAATTTATCTAAAAACTTCTAACTTACCAAAATAAAATGAACGTTGTCAAATCAAATTTCCTTAAAAGTTGTAGCCAACCAAACGCATGCAAAGAAAACGGCAGAAATTCAATCACTTCCTATTTCGTTGTTGTTATGAATATTGTTGATGCAAACAACCACAAAAAATTTACCTATCACACAATGCACTTCTAATTAATCTAACAATTTTTAACTCACCAAAATATAACGAATTATATCAACGGTTATTTACACTTCAATGTGTTTTTTTTTCACAAACAATACTTGAAATTTAATGTTCGTTGAAAATGTAATTGTAACAAAATTCAGAATTGCAACACGCATAGTCCAACACAATTAAAAGTGGAAAATATCGCAACCACAAATCCGCCATAAACGATACACAATCCGAATACATATGCATTGGTAACTCATACAGAACAGCAATGAAGTGTACTTCTGTATACGACTGTGTTAACTGTGACGTGCAAGAAGTAATAACATCGACCAATGAAAATGCGCCACGGCGCTTGTAGTTGTTGTAGTCGCTAAATTTGCGCCAACACATTTTTTTATCTCTGTTCCGTACGTACATTCGAAAAAATAACATTTTGCACTTCTGTATGCCTTCTCATTTCCAACGGTATAAATATATATATATCAACGGCAACATAGTCAAACACAAACTTTTTTGTTAGCGTAATTATACTATAAGTTGGTTAGAAAATGAGTAGTGCTCCCAAAGAAATAACACTACTAGCTCCAAATTTTCAAATAACACTACTAGCTTGAGAACATATGCAAAGTTAAAAGTCATTCTGTCAATTAGTTCTTTGTTTACAAGCCATTTGAAGTTGACGTGTCAGAGTATTTTTCCACGCGAAGGACGTCCAAAAACCGCAACTACACAGGAAATCATTGAACAAGTTCATAAAATTGTTAGTAAAGACCCAAGGTTGACTAAGCATGAAATTGCTAATGCTATAGGCATCTAAGACGCACGAGTACTTCATATTTTACATGGAGAATTACATATGGAAGTTAGTGCTGCACACGTTAACAATTCAACAAAAACCGGATCGAAAACAAATTTCTCAGCATTGATGTTTTATGGATGAGACTTAGATCTACCACCATGATCATAAATTGAAACAAAAACGTTTACAGTGAACTGAAGGTGGTTGTTCAGCTCCAAAGCAGATGAAGTCACAACGGTCAGCAAAGAAGATTATGGCATCAGTTTTTTGGGATGCAAACGAATTTTGTTGATTGAATATCTGCAAAGAGGTAAAACAATCAACCTTGAATATTATTGCAGCCTGGATGAAAAAATTCGTGAGAAAATCCTTGGTTTACAGCACAAAAAAAAAATAATTTTTCGTCAAGACACCTGCTCACAAAGGTGTCTTAAGAATAATAATAATAACCCAACGATTACCCTCCTCCCGCCCAACCGACGAGAGGGGCGCAATCCGCATATGTGAGGAATTAGCCGAGTCAGAAAAGGCAAGAGAGTTTTTAAAGTGTTGAGATCTAAAACTGCTCAGCTACAGAAACAAAAATTTCAACAGCTAAGATTTTTAGTTACAATATAATAAATTGTTACATTTTTATTCGTTAAGAAAAAACAATAAAGTCTTTTTAATTTTGAAAAGTGAGTCAGATAAGTCAAATGTGCTGGAATGAGAATTAATATCATGACATATACGGCGGAATGGCTCGTTTAGTTCAAAATTTGATCTACAGGATTTTAACAGTAAAGGTCTAAACTGCCTCGAAAAGTGAATCGGGATATTAAATTTAATTTCAGACAGGAGAAAAGAACTGCAAACTGTTCCATTCAAGATTTTCACTAAGAATATTATGCCAAGCATTTCCCTATGACTAGAAAGTGTAGGTTATTAATCTACCTAGTTTTAAACGACTAGTGTATGGAGGTAAACTTACCCTAGAATTCCATCGGAAATGCGCTAAGGCGAAAAGTAAAAATTGTTTTTTAACAAACTCTAACTTGTCAGAATGGATTTGGTAGTTAGGATTCCAAACAACAGAGGTCTATCCAAAGTTGTATAAAGTGTTTTAGTATTATACGGATCTCTAAATTCTTTAGACCAACAAAACTGAGGACAGCTTTTCCATATTAACTCCCAAATCAACATAGTTAAAAACTAGATATTCAGATTCAATGGCAAATCATTTCTATCACACCATGCAACCATATTGTTTAAGTCTGTTTGCAACAGACACCTTTCCTCAGTTGAAGTGTATGATTTAAAAGCTTTACGCCGTCAGCGTATAATAAAATTTTTGAGAATTCTGTTACTGAAGAGATATCGTTAATAAACAATAAGAACAGAATCGGGCCAAGATGACTACCTTGCGGAACACCTGAAGAAACATTAATTGTATCTGAAGGTGTATCCTCAAATACCACTCGTTGTGTTTTATTATAAAGATTGGAAGCTACCCATTGAGGAAATCTTGGCTGAAAGCCCAGCAGATCAAGTTTATGTATGAGAATCGAGAGGTTTACTTTATCGAAAGCTTTGCTAGAGTCTGTGTATATAACATCCGTATGCTTATGTACTCTAAAACCCAATGATACATTTACAAATTCAAGCAAGTTTGTTAGAGTCGATTTCTCTTTACGAAATCCATGCTGAGATGAGGAAATTAGCGTAGAAATCGAAAAGGTTATATGGTCAGTGATGATAGCTTAAAAAAGTTTAGGTATAACTGATAGTTTTACGATACCTCTATAGTTTTCAATGTTGGATCTAAATCCACTTTTATGCAAAGGAATTATAAATGACTGAAGAGAGAGATTTGTATGTATAACCGAAAAATTTTTGTTGATTAGCGCTCTTAATTTCAAATAAATAACTGAAATTCCCGGATTTAGTTGTTATAGATACCGGTTCGTATTTATTTTTAATTTAATTTTATTTACCAATTTATTGAATAAATTTTTTATCTAATTTATTTTTATTTTTGATGTCCTTATTTAGGGGTATATAGGTATACCCTAATGCACGGACTTGTAGTTATGTATATATGTACTTGTGCAATTGAGAGCTCGTTGAAGAGATCATGCACTTGTACCTATGTTCTAGTAGCACGAATTATTTGTGCTGAAAATTTGTACGCAATCCTGCTTGCTTGCTGCAAGGGGTATTGCGGGATAATGCCAAGTGGACTTTGAATATAAAATAAATTTAGTTTGAACCAATATTATGTATATTGTTCAAAATTTAGTATTATTTATATAAGATAGTATGATTTATTAAATATCCGCGTTTATTTACCGAACCGTATTTACCTATGTACATATATAGGGTATATAAGTATAGCGTTTGTATACTGTAAGTAATGCAAAAAGCGAATCAAGTGTAATCGTAAAGAGCGGAGAGAGAAATTGGCATAGCAGGTAAGTCGCATTTTCAATAAGCACTGTATGTACGTATGTAAGTTTATTGTATGTATAAATGATATAAGATATAATACATAGTATGAAAATACGATATGTTGTATACGATATTAATGATTAATATTTAATATTTAGAATACATATGTATGTTACGTAACTATGCACTGTATATAATTTTACATATATAATTGTTTATAATGTTAGAAGTAAATGAATACTCCTTTGGTACTTATATATATATATATATTTTTGTTTTTTCTTTTTCCGTTTAACTTCGTTTATTGTATGTATGTATGTATATTTATTTTGCCTTTTATGCTTAATTTGACTATACCTTTGCTCACATATATTACGCAATCCTGCTTACTGCTTAATTAAGCGTAAGGGGTATTGCCGGAAAAATTTGTAAGTATTGAAATACTTAAATTTGGGTTTTTTTTGTTTTTTGTATATTGTGTTTGGATACACGAAAGTAAGCAGGTACAAGTAGTCAATTATTATATTATATATATATATATATACATCTATCGTATATATGTATGTGTATGACTGTACATATATATTACAATAAACGGTTTTTCGTTATTTGAACCCGCAATTAAAACCGGTAAGTTATACCAAATTGCCAACCGTTACCAAGATATTGAACGGTTTCTTTTGGTGTTTTATTACAGTATCTTGTATAAAATGTAAACTGTACTTCTCAATAAATATACATAAGTATGTTCATAAATATAAAAAGGGAATCGAATTGACTCACTTGATTTCCTCCAAGGGCTTTTGGGGAATTTATGTATATTTGTAATTACGTGTTTGTACGTCTACGTGTGCTTCTGCGTTTCTTCCAATTCCTGTCCTTTCCTTAGGATTTTGTGTGTGCTAGGTGTTGCTTTTTGTGGTGTTTTTTGTAACTCCGCGCCCGAATGTATATTTGTATATTATATTAAATTTGTTGTTAGGATCGCGCCCGTTTTGTTTTATTGTTGTTATATAAATGTAATTTAAGCTTTTATTCTTTTTTTTTTTTTATTTTTGGTTTTAGTCACACCAATTTTTAGCCACTCTTTATTTGTTGTCAATATGCACCTTTTGTATATTCAATCACAATCACAGCACTTTGGATTTTTTTTTGTTTTTCCTTTTTGTTGTTAACACAGCACTGCGATTGTTCTTCTCTTTAGATAGCTATTTTTTTTTTTTTCACTGTTCCACTCCACTTGCGTTTTGTTCACTTTATACATATAGCCTTTTTTTTTTTTTTTTTTTTAAATGTTTTTTCCTTCCATAGTGCCTCTCACTATGGCTCGAAGGACCATATATAATCTTATTCCAACCTCTTGGAATTAAATCACACTCACCACTTCCTTTGTGTTAAAAATGCAACAGTTTTATTAATTTTTTGTTTTAAAATATTAAACGCCACTCAATAAAACCAAAACACTTGCGACGCAGCGCAAAGAAAAGGTATAAAAAAATGTAAATGTGTACAGAGAAAAAATGGATTGTCCGGCTCAGGTCCGCTGATGTATTATATTGCGACGGGAATACAACGTTGACGAGGTGTCCGCTTCGACTTCGATACGCAAAAGAGTGCCGCCGCTTCGAGTGTCCGTGGTTTTTGTTGATGGTTGGTGGGGTGATCGCCTAGTGTGTTGTGTATCCTGGGTGGTAGTGTCGTTCTGTGAGGTGTATGTTGCGTGAGGTGAGGTGGTGAATGTTGCGAGAGGTGATGTGGTGAATGTTGCGTGTCAGTGATGTGTGAGGTGTGTTGGTGTAGGTTTTCGGGACGACGTAGGCTCATTTAGCCAGACTGTTTCCATATTGAAGGAAATATACCGTGTTTAAGAGAGGAATTAAATATCCTTGTCAAAGGCAAGTAAATATATTTGGCACTATTTTTTAGGAAGCATGAGGGTATCTTGTCTGGGCCGTAACTAAAAGATGGTTTTAACTTATTTAATTTAAGTAGGACGTCTTCTTCAGAAATAATTGGAGCATTAATTAAAGTATTCGAACACAGCACGTGCTGATAACAAAAACTTTTGGAAGAATTATTACAGTAGTTTGACTTGAAAAATTCTGCAAACATATTGGATATAATAACATTGTCAGTTGAAATGATTGATTTGTATTTCATCGGGGACGGAAATGACAATGACAAAATTCAACGAATTCAATTACGAATTGCTTGAGTATCCACCGTATTCCCAGATTTGGCTCCCAGCAACTACTATCCCTCATCAGAAACCTGTAACAATTCCTTTGTGGAAAGCGTTTTTCGTCGAATGAAGAAGCTTTTACAGTTGTAAACGTGTATTTTGCGTAAAGTCATTATACGGATGGCATAAAAATGTTGGAGAGTCTATTGAAAATTAAAAAGATTATTTAACTAGATAGAAGAACTGAAAAAATCCATGTTGTTTTGGCCTAAATAGTATTTTTTTACTGCTCTGCTTTTTTAAATTAGTAAAAAAACAAACATGTACTTATATATTATATATGTATATATAAATTATTAGTAGTACGATAGAGACATATGTACATAACCAAATTTCAGGTAAATTGTAAATCTCAATTAGTAACGTGTAGCTTATGACTGCAAAAACAAGGTATTGCAACTGATATGATGTTTAATTTAGATAAATCCATGCCTGTTGGATTTTATCAGTCGATCATGTTTAACATATATACCTATGTAACTATCATCTGGCAAAATATTTAATTTACCTTATACATGCATATTTCAAGTGCAAATTTGAATAAATAGAATTGCAATGCGCATTTAGCATTCTAGTCCAGTCTTATTAACACGTGGAGGTGATAAAACCCAAAGTTAAATGTATAAAGTGTTTACTGTTTTTGCAGTCATTATTTTAATGATTGCCACAAGAAAAGTGCTGGTTAGTTAAAAAGGATGAGTTTTAAAATTTCATTTTCAAAATTTTGAAATTTGAAATATAACACATTTTTTAATACAAAACAGGCCGAAGAAATCATGAAGATACCTATGGGTCTGGTGCTTGAGGCAGTCGAACCGTATGCCATGAACTGTGAGCCTAAGCCTGAAAAAGGTAAGTAAGTTGGATGCTAAAACACTGTGATTAAGAATCCATAATATGCTTTCCTTCTTAATACTTTTTTCATATTAAAAAGCACATATGGAAGAGCTTATCTTGAATAAAGAGGACGCGCACCTTATAACGAAATGTTTACGTGGCTGCCTCATGGAACAATTTGGATTAGTAAGTAGACAAATATATATCTATTTTGAGAACATTTGACAATTTGTCCGCTAAACAGTTCGTAGAAGACCGCACTGATGTAAACTCGGAGAAGCTAGTGAGCTGGATGGTACTTTTGTATGTCGAAAAAATGGATGAACTCATAGATATATCGAATGGCTGTAATGAGAAAAATGTTGAAATGGGCATTACTGATAAGTGAGTTGGTAATCCTTTATATACTTGCTAAGTTGTGACTTATGGTTTCTACCCATTACTAAACAGATGCGAAGTTGCGCATTCGTTTGCCATGTGCATGCTGAAAGAAATGAAAGAGCGCGAGTATGAGATACCCGAAGTGGAATAATGAGTGGCATAAGTTATTGGAAAATTGTTATACTTTCGTAATAAAATGTATGTAATTTTCAGCATTCGAAATATTATTTTCAAATCTATATGCTTATCAATATAACTTGTACAAATTTTATATTCAATGAAAACATTTTGCTAGTGAGCCTACAAATATTTACTTAAATATATATACATATATATATATATAATCAAATGTGTTAATGTACTAACCCAATTCGAACTGTCTTTGGTTATAAAATTTTTCTCAATTTTACTTTCAAAGCTTTAATGGTCAAAATTTGGCTTTGAACACTGTCAAATCCGTTTCAAGAATGCGTGCAATTGGCAAAAATAGACAAAGCCATGTCAATGTTTTTATTGAAATATGTTTGATTCTAATACCTTTTTCAGATTGCAAATTTTCTAATTTCGCTCCAAAATTAATTAAGCTACAATTTTTAAGGTGTTCCTATTAGAAAACGAATGAAAAAGGGAAATCACGCAATTAAATCCAAGAGCGTTTGGATACTGTGTACAGTGACTCTTCTCTTCGATAGCGACTGCAAAAAAATAGTTTAACGAGCTTAAACTTAACCGAAGATAACCTGACAAAAGTTCATGCTATCATATCTTGTTTAACAGCACAACCGTGTGCCCACGTCACTATCCGACAGTCTCTTTTCGTGACAGTCGACGAAACAGTGTACCTCACCGGTGAACTTGCTCCGAAGAAAGCGAAGACTGTCCTATGGCACAGAAAGGCAATGGCCACCCTTTTCTGGGATTCACAAGATGTGACCTATATTAACTACATGGAAAAGGTCAAAATGGTGACAGAGCTTTATTATGAATGGCACAAAAACAGCCCCATTTAGCGAAGAAAAAAGTGCTCTTCCACCATGATGACGAACTGACTGTCTCTCGGCACGACCAAATTGTTTGCATTAGGCTACAAACCACCGTTTTTTCTATATTTGGATCCGTGGGACTTTTCTTTCTTTCTAAACTTGAAAAAGTCATTCTGGCATAAAACGCTGCCAAAGAACCCTACTTTGTAAATCTCTAAAAAACGTATTTTCCAGATGGCTTAAAAAAGCTGGAGCTGGATTAAATATATCACGAAAGGAGACTTCTTCTTAATTTCATGGAAGGAAGATTAAAAATTATGCTTATTTAATCAACATTAGAGTGGAGCGAAAAAAAAATAATTTTTCTTGCTTAGTCTGGGGGTAATCTGTAAATTATAAAAAAGGAAAATTTTTGGAGAAGAGTGAAAACTCAGTTTTAAAGTAAATCTTCGATTTAAAAATTTTAAGCGTTAAAATAAATTTTGAGTCAAAAGCCGTCACATTCGGTAATTTTTATATAAATGTAAAGAGTTTAAACCAAAAAAAATTTGTTTTGCTCCACCCTAATGTACATTGTTGATTCTCTACAAACTCTAACTTCTGATAACCAATGTTACCAACCCTCTTCCATCAAAATGCGTTCAGAAACAGCATACTAATTTTGAAAATCAATAACAATTTACATAAATAAGTGGTAAATTTGCAACAATGGAATCAGCCAAGATGACAGTTGAAATCCTCTGAATATCTATAATTGTATATTGATTTGTACACGGAAAATCCTCTGAGCTTCAATTAAAATATCACAACACAAACAATAAACACAAATCATGAATATACGTATTATATATTTATAAATGATATGGGCTGACCATACAACAGATCGTGATTTTCGAATCGAATTTCAGCCACGCAAATGCAAATTTATGTAAAGTTTTTTTAGCAGCCTTTGATACACAGCTAAGCTCCGAGTGTTATATTGTACATATGTATATCTCACACTAAAAAGGTCTAATGTGGCGAGTAGAACAGTGAAAGCTATATGGGGAATGGGCGTGGTCACAGTATTTGAAGAAGTGCTAGAAGGAATTAATAAAATATTTACATGATGCTTATATGAATCTTGAACACATGCTTATGATTTGAAATATAATTTTGTTTTTGGAAATTATGAAAATAGTGTGCTAAATTTTACTAAAATCGATTCGGTAGTTTAAGAATTTACACCGGGACAGACAACATAACACGTTGTTTTATACATAAATATAAAATACAAAAACAATATTTTTTTCCTGTTTAAGTATATATGTCATTCACCATTACTGTCGACGAACGAGAGAAAAAATTAAATTCAGTCATTAGTTTAAAATCATAAATATATTGACTGCAAACGCCTGACAACACGCACATCAAATTAAATATTATAAACTTACTAATAACTTGTTCCACCCACTAATTACTATTAAGTATCAATTTGTGGTGTGTCCATTGATACTGTGCCAGTAATTACTAGAGCCAGAAACAAACCCATATGTACACGCATTTGAGAGGTTATAGTATACATAAAATACAAAAAGCTGCAGTTTTCAGCTTTCAACTGATCGTCAACACTTATCAATAAAAAAATAATAATAAATTTCATTGCAATAACTTAATATTTGAACACGCACATCCACATAATAGACCCCTTAGGAAAGTTGGTGGGTAACTAAGTGAAGCTCTATTTATGTAGCGACCGTAAGTTATGATTACTTGCTTGCACATGCACTTGAACATCCGTTTTTTTTTAAATCAGTTTGAATTGCCCAAATATTATCAAAAAACTAGATACTAATTTTAACTATTTCGAAATAGTTTAAGACTATAGGAAACAGAGTGATGTGTCAATTGAGACTTTCTAGGCCAATATTATTAGACATGTCTAGTTTCAATTTTGTATATGTTTTTTTTCGTACGAGGTATATATTTACAAGTATATGAAGGAGGAAAATCACAAAATGAATTATGAAATATTTTTTATTGTAATATATATTTAGCACTTGTTAGAGATATATAATAAATAAGCATGCAATTTCGACATATATTAAGGAAATATGAATTGTTTAATTTCACCACGCAAACACTTTAGAATTGTGTAAGCCGCTTCACAGTTGTCTTTCTTTATGCCAACACTTGCGTCCTTGCATTTTAGTAGACCTGCGCGGTAATCATCCTTGTAGCTGTCGGGTAAAACTAAATCAACTTGCTTTAACGACGCTTCGTACAGAAACTTTCCCTTCTTCATCTAAAGTAGAGAAGACAAATTTAACAACATGAACAAAAATGTATGATTAAATTAAGTATACTATAATGGCTGGTATATTTACCGTTTGCATCATTTCTAAAACACAATTTATATAGCATTTAACGTCTTTATTGTTGTCTGGTATGTTGCCGTCGCGTAATTGATTGGCGAGTTCTGAAAATAAAGTTTGTATAAGAAGTTTGTAGAGAAAGGAGTCTTCGTAGATGAATACAGATCTGATAACTAATTGTATATGAAAACAAGTAAGGAAGGGCTAAGTTCGGATGTAGCCGAACATTTTATACTCTCGCAAAGTCAAATGGTATACTCGTTTGAGATTTCTTTGTGGATCTTGCCGCATTGTTCTATGTTGACCGATATTTTCGGTAAAAAGTCAGCTATAGGCACTGGGGTCCACATATTTAGTAATACTTAGGGGCTTGAACAGTTTTGGTTCGATTTAGACAATTTTTGGTCACAGGGTGGCATACTTTAAACGTATTATTCACGCAAAGTTTTACCCCGATATAATCATTCTTGCTTGATATGCATAGTGGAAAGTGAAAGAATCAGATAGAATTGAAAATGGTATTATATGTAACATAGAAATATGAAAAGAACGTTATGCACCGAATTTGGTTGAAATCGGTTAAGCAGATCCCAATATATGGGTTTTCACCTAAAATTGGGCGGTGCCACGCCCACTGACTAATTTTGAACGCGGTTCCTATAAAGTCATCTCATACCATCCCAGAGATAAAATTTAATGTCTCTGGCGTGTTTAGTGCTTGATTTATCGCGCTTTTAGTAGTTTTTAACAGTACCGTTATATGGGGAGTGGGCGGAGTTGCCACCCGATTTCACCCCTTTTCATACTGTAGGTAGAGGTTCTAAAAGCATTTGCTTCCAGTGAATTTGGTTATTATAGCTTTAGCGGTGTAGGAGATATGCATATCAAACGTATTAGGGGCGCGACCGCGCCCACTTAAAAAAAAAATTTTACCCGCAGATGCCCCTCCCTATTGTGATCCTGTATACCAAATAAGAGTCTTGTATCTTGTTGTGGAGCTTAGTTATGGCAATTTATTGGTTTTTGAATAATGGCGTTTTGTGGGCCGATTACGCCCATCTTCAATACCAACCGTTTCACGGTACCAAGAAATATGTCTACCAAGTTTCATAAAGATATCTCAATTTTTACTCAAATTAGAGCTTGCACTGACGGACGGACGGACAGACAGTCACCCGGATTTCAACTCGTCTCTTCATCCTGGTTTAGGTGATACAAACAACCGTTAGGTGAACAAAACTATTATACTCTGTAGCAACAGGTTGCGAGAGTATAAAAAATGAGAAATGTGTACCAACACATGTAAAAAGTAAGTACGAGTTCTTAGATGGACGTGATCGGATCATTGAACGAAAATCTATAAAGTCCCATAACAAGATATGAAACTGTAATTTAGCACAATGGATCACAGTAGTAAGAGGTTTAATATACATAACGGTTCTGTGAAAAACTACTAAAAGCGCGATAAATCAATAATAAATAGGACTATAACTACGCTTACTTCCCATATAAAAATTTTACATTTCATCTGATTCTTTCACTTTCCAGTATACAAATCAAAAATAAATTAATGTATCGGAATAAAACTATGCACGAATAGTGCCTTTGAGGTGTGGCACCTTATTACCAAAAATTGCCAAAATCGGACTAAAACTATTCAAGCCCTTAAATACCGAATATGTGGACCCCAGTTCCTACAGTGAACATTTTATCGAAAATATCGGTCAATCTATGAGATATATGTCATAGAAATTCAAAGATAATCCTTTTCTGATAAAAATATGCCTGTATGTCAAAAATTGGTTGTATCGTTTCAATAATTCCTTCAGCACCCATATACCTAATATTAATATTTTCGAAATACCGCTCTTCCTTACTTGGTTTTATGTACTTCAAGACCCTAAAAATATATAACTATTTCGAGAAGAAACCTACTAACATAAGAGCTAGAAAAGTTCCGGAGCACATTTATATAAAACTAGAACTCTTACATGATAGTTTCCT